GAAAGTGTCCTATAGTTTCAAAGCTCTCTGATCATGGAAATAAGATGGTCAGAAGCTCAGCTGTAGCACCAAATCTGCTGCTGTACATTACATGCACTGATGTTCCAAGGGTACTCTTTTACTTTCAGAGGAAGTATACGTTATGTAATGGCTGTGATGACAGTGTCATTATGGAGCAATCAGGGATTCATCCATCTTTATCCTCAGTCCAAGGAGCAGTTTGCCTCTAAAAACAGTGCAGACACAATGACAGATATTATCTTTCAGGAGTTATGTTGCCTCTCTATAAATATAATACATTTTGCTTTTTCTTTTTCTTACTAAAGATAGGCAAATATATTATTAAAAAATCTTACCTCATAAGAGGCAAATTGGAAAGGGAATATTGAACATAAACATGAACCAAATTAAACATAATGTGTCTGTTTGGCTGATGTTTAACAAGCAGCCACTTGCCCACAAGTTAGCCATATCAGTATCATATCAGTATTCAATGTATAACATGTCTAATATGTAATATAATGTAATGTAAAGCGCTTTGAGCACAAACACTCAAATAAATACCATGAATTATTATGATATCAACTTGGCTAAAGAGTATCAATATGTTAATAACACCCTGTTCCCTTATATAATTAATTTAAAATTCATGACTTTCTTTTTATTAATTACTATTTTCAAAAACAGATTATTTACTGTCACCAGCCTTTTAGCTGCTATACAGGTTCACTGCTACATCCAGCACTATCTTTGACTTGGTGCAAAAACTGCAGTCAATTTCACCTGACGCACCCAACTTTATACTTGGTGATTTTAACCATGTGACCCTTAAAAAGACACTCACTAACTTTTATCAATATGTCTCCTGTCCAACCAGGCGGGATAAAACATAACGGTACGTCTACACAGCAGCGTTAAAAAAATCTTGGAGGTGGGCGTATCTGAAGCTTGAGGATTTTTTGCGAGCAACCAATCACATGAATCTCCCGCCCGCGACATACGAAGCAAAAAAGCCCGAAGTAAACTGGATATAAACTCCCCAAAACAGGCGAAAACCTACCACTGTCTCTGCCACCTCCCTCCATGCCTGGCTCCTCCGGTTTATATCCCGGTAGGTCTGGTCATAAAGCACCGGGTGATTGATTCGCTACCGCTAATTTCTCCTCCATGTTTTGGAATATGAGGAAATGACCTGCGGTATGTCTCTCCCAGAATACACGCCGTTTGATTGGCTAGAGCTTGAACTGTCAGATTTGCGTACACGGGATTTGATTGGTTGACGCTTCCACCTCAGCCTCAAAAGTTGAACATTGTTCAACTTTGAATCCTCAAAATCCTGAAAATCTCCGCTCGCCTGCCCACAATCCATTTCGGCGAAAAGTGAGGGAAAGTGACGTCACCCCATTCAAAGTGAATGGGCAGAAGCGTTTCAAGATTTTTTTAACGCTGCTGTGTAGACGTTCCGTAGACCTGTGTTATGGGTCAGTAAAGGAAGCCTATAAGTCAGTCCCATTAACCCCACTGGGCTCGGCTGATCATAACTGTGTGCATCTACTGCCCATATACAAAACTGTTTTGAAGCGAGAGAAAACATTGACAAAGGACCTAAATGTCTGGACAGAAGAATCTGTAGCCTGGTTGCAGGAATGTTATGACTGCACTGATTGGGATATGTTTAAAGAGTCTTGTGGTGCCGACTTGGATGAACTTGTTGATGTAACATGCTCATATACAGCCTTTTGTAAAGACATGATTATTCCGTGTAAGCAAGTCAAAATATACCCTAATAACAAACCATGGGTGACCAAGGCGGTTAAGTCCAGCATTCAGAAAAAGTAACAAGCTTTTAAACAGGGAAGTGCCTCTGATCTGCATAATGCTAATAGGGAACTTAAAATAGAAATTCTGAAAGCTAAACAGAATTTTAAATCTGAACTTCAAAACAAAATGGCTGCAAACAACCTTGGCTCAGTCTGGAGTAGCATGTAAACCATAACAGGCCTCCGGGAAACAAAGAATAGCTGCCATGTGACTCTGGATGGCTTTAATTCAGATGTTGAGTTTGCAAATGCCCTAAATCATTTTTTTTCTCGATTTGACACATTTGACTTCAGTAATAATATATCTGAATTGAAGCTTGAACTTGAAGACAATAAGCATTTTAATATAGACCAGAGGGAAGTGGAAAAGGCCTTCCATTTAGTAAAAATAAATAAGAGTCATGGACCTATGCAAAAGAACTTAGCCCTGTGTTCCACTATATGTCTTTACAGACACAGCATGTGCCAAAGGTTTGGAAGGATGCTGTGGTTGTCCCTGTTCCCAAATTCAGAGGCCCCAAAACTCTTAATGATTTTAGACCAGTTGCACTTACATCAATTCTAATGAAGACATGGGAAAAACTAGTCAGAGCAGAAATCTTAAGGAAGACTGAGCATGCACTCGATCCCATGCAGTTTGCTTACAGGCCACACAGAGGAGTAGAGGATGCCATGGTCACCTTACTTAACTTACTTTTTAAACACTTGGAGGGAAATGGATCTCATGCTAGACTTTTATTTGTTGATTTTTCCTCTGCTTTTATCACAATTCATCCTCATATTTTAATTGGCAGACTTTTAGAACTATTTGAAATAAGCAATAATCTTATGGGCTGGATTCTTCTTCCAATAGGACACAAAGAGTGAGGGTGAATGGGACCTTATCTGATCAAGTCAGCTCCTCCACTGGCTCCACACAAAGATGTGTCCTTTCACCACTATTATTTATACTTTACACTAATATGTGTCAAAGTAAGTGGGAAAATAGGACTATTTTAAAGTATGCAGATGACTCTGTAATTGTTAGTAGGCTCCAGGACAATGAGACCAGCCACGGGCCTGTCATTGACGACTTTGTCAGGTGGTGTGAGGAGTCCTATCTACAACTGAACATAAGCAAAACCAAGGACATGATCATTGATTTTAGAAGACATCCCCACATACATGAAGTCTTACCAATCGCGAATCAGAAAGCAGAATTTGTGCAATCATACAAATATCTCGGGACAATTATTGACTCAAAATTGAGCTCTGATCCAAACTGTGAAGCTGTGTGCAAAAGGGGGCACCAGCGTTTGTACTGTCTTAGGAAACTGTCCTATTTTAACATTGACAAAACAATGATGATCATGTTTTATCGTGCTGTTATCGAGTCAATTCTGTCTTTTTCACTAATGTCATGGTTTGGTAACCTGACTTTAAAGAGCAGAAACTCTTTGAGTCAGATCGTAAAGTGGTCCAGCAGACTGATTGGTGAGCCACAGCTAAACCTGGAGACCCTGTACCTCAGGCAGTTACAGCGGTTATCCAGCTCCATATTAGATGATGACTCCCACCCTCTGCACTCAGAATTTAAGCTTTTTCCTTCGGGCCGGAGGTTAGTTGTCCCAAAGAGTAGAAACTGTTTTATCCCAGCAGCTATTGCACAAATTAACACATCATAGGAGCATCACACAGATGCCTATTTATTTATTTAATTATGAATTTTGAATGTCAATGTTTGTACTAGTGTTTTCCTTCTTAAATGTTTTTGAAATATTTTGAGATTTGACGGAGCAGGGTGTACTTGTACTTTTTACTAGTCCTTTTATTAGAGATGTGTCTGTTGTTTGTGTTTGTGTTTAGAGTGTGTCAGGATGGATCCCTTGTCTTTCTCTGCAAACAAAATCTACGGGTACAAATAAAGAACCTGAACCTGAACCTGATCTCAGTATTGGTTTTATTTGTCACTTATTTCCTGTGCACTGAATGCTATGCTATGGGGCTAAGCATCTTATCAGATAATGGCCAAAGACAGATTCATCAAACACCTTTAGTTGTCCAACATTTAAAAGAATGCAACTAAACATTTAAGCGGTGTTTTCTTTACAAACAACAACACGAGGCCCCTCAGCTCCAGTTTCACTTGGGCAATCCCACCGTCCTCTTGGTTCCCACAGAAATTCGAACCCTTACTTTTATATTTAGAGACAGACAAACAGCCGCTGTCAGTGTAAAGTATTGCCAACCTTGACACCTGGGGTCTTTGGTGATGGTCAGGGTAGAACATGCAGATGTTTGTGATCTTTTTGTATGCATGAACTTAGTTGTCGGCCTACTTTATCATTTCAGAGCATACATACATTACCAGAAATTCAAACTGAAACGTTTTCTTTGTAACTTTAAAGTGACCATAATGCAGTCTGAGGGGATTGTGTGGGTTTTCTGTCGGCTTGAAGGACTTATCCTGCCATGTGTCCTCAAAGCATGCTTGGTGGAGGTCTGTTTTCACAGAAGGAGGAACATTTTGGAGAGAAAAGTCTGTAAATATCAAATCAAGACTTTTGGTTGTCTTACTGCCAATCATCCAACCAATAATAATAAATGCTCAAAAGAACCGATTATTATCACAATTTTCTTTAAAATATCTACAGGTTATCAGTTGTAGTCAAGTAATTCACTATAAACGTGCCCTTTATTTGAAGAGTTTTTCTTATATAGACTTTTAAAAATGTATTTCTTTATATCAAAACCCTCTCCCCTGTGGTTCCTTCTACCCTTATGCGACATTTACTTTGGCTTCCATCTTGCTCCTGAATCCAACTTTTAACGTTGAAGTCCCCACACTCCTCCTGCTAAAGTGATTCATATCAACCTCCCCTGCTACAGTAAAGCATACAGGCAGGGGAAAGGATTAAAATAAATTATTAAAATAGACTAAGGTGTTGATATGATGAATGAGCAAGGTAAGAGGCATGATTAACCCACAGGGGGGAAAAGTATTAAGAGCTGCTCATTATCTGTGCTCCTCCTCCTATTCCTCTCCCTTTTCTTCAATCACTTGAGGAGAGGAGACCCTCCCAAACTAACTACCCATTGGCCTATAGGCATTAGGGACAGATTTGAGCAATTGAAGAGGGAGGGAGGGAGAGAGCAAAAGTCAGTGGCAGTGTGGAGGTTTCTGAATCATTGGCCCAGGGCTGTCAACAGGTGGCAGAGGGAGAGGCTTTGTGACGCTCAGTCCTTCAGAGAAAAGGGGAGAAAGAAAGAGAGTAAAGGAGGAGAAAGTCAAAGAAAACTCTCAAGGGTAAGGCAACACTTTCATATTAGCCTTCTCTGTCATTCATATTGATTTAAGCATGCGACTTAATGTCTGTCCTCAATATGTGATTTCTTTTTTTGTAAGGGATTTAGTTTAGTGGCAATTGTGAGTCTCATTACCCTGTAGGTGTGTTTCTGGTTCAGACTAAATCGTTTTAATATAGATCATTACATTTAGCTATTTTCTATCAACAGAAAAAAATATGCTGTTAATTTAAAGTTGTTATTTTTGTTGTGCTCTTGGACAATTCTACATCATCTCAAAGGGCTCCATTATGTGTTTAACCTTTTGGTTCTCTATCTTACTATATATCAAAGTTATTGATAGTGTTGTTTTACACATTCTCAACCAAATGGACATTGAATTGGAGTTGAAATAAGCTATTTTTCAGCTTTTCTTCCTCTCCCATCTCCATTTCTTCTTCTCCATCCATCTAAACTCTCTAGTTGTCTTTCACTCACTCCCTGATTTCCACTGTATCCCTGTCTCAACTCTTTTTCTACATCTACCAGTTTATAATCAGATGGATGGTAGGACTTTGGTTAAACAGTCCACATGCAGTCTTTCATGTGAACCTTGCCTTAAGTTGCATGACATTTTACAGTTTAACTTGACACCTGGAATTTGGAAGTGTCCCTCGACCGAAGCGGTTCCTCTGTTAGTTTGTTTTGCATGGCAACAAGAAAGTAGTGGAAATCTTGGTCAGTGATGAATATTGATGTGATGGGGTTTGGCACACTGATATGAAGTAATATGAGCATTAAAGTGTTATGAAGTTGTTCAGACATGTCTTTCTTCCAATGAAAGTGCTGTATAATGTCCTGAGGAGGAAAGTAGAGCTGATTCGCTGAAGTACAAATGTGTTGTACTTATACTTAATAATTTATTTCATTCTACTATCCAACTACTGTTCGAAAATGTTGTTACCAGTTACTTTAAAAATGAAAATGTTATCTAAAACAAATAACTATTTCGTAAAAAATATGCATTGTTATACATTTAACTATCGAACATTATAAAACAATTACATTTAGCTTAAAGGGGACCTATCATGCAAAATGCACATTTGTACGTCTTTTATACATGAATATGTGTCCCCGGTGTTCCAGGGAACTCACCAAGTGTCAGAAAACACAACCCTCTCTATTTTCCTCCATACCCAAATCTCTAAAAAAGGGGCTGCAACGGATCTGATAAAAACTGATCCAGATTTGAACACTGTCCTGACGTCAGGACAGTGGCGCTACGGCTATTGGGCCAACTCCACCAATCAGGAGGAGACAGCCATGGCCATTGCCGTTCGAAAGCGCTGGAGACGCTGTAGTACATATGCCAGGCCAGTAGATGGTGCTGTTCTCACAGAATCAGCCCTTGCAAAAACAGAGCTAGAAATTGTCAAATTGAGCAAAATGAGGCATGGCTAAAATGCATGATCTGTTTGGTATTTTGAAAAAAAAAAAGTATAAATATGCCTTATATAGGTATGGTCCTACACTATATTATTCAAATATAGCATGATAGGCAGGGGTGCACACAACTTTCTCAGTGAGGTACTCAGATGAGTACCTGGAGTCAGTGTTTGGTACTCCAACTTCTGGCGATTGTCAGCTTCCTGACCGCGGAGCGTGTGAACGTTGTGATCAGCTGTTTTAGCGCAGGGCTGCTGTACAGACCGACGTTAACAGCAGCCCTGTCTGTGCACCCGGAGACCGACTCTGTCATCCGATCTAACCGCCTTCTGGAAAAGCTTCACAAGTACGTCGGTACGCAAATGCGCTTTGTGACACAAGTGACGGTACGCATTTCAGATTGTTGCCGCGCATGCGTACTTGCGTACCAGTTATGTGCACCCCTGATGATAGGTCCACTTTAACCCGCACATTAAAGCACTACCTGTTAATGCATTAGTAATACATCTTACAAAAAGCATCCAGTTTTATAATAATATTAAACTGATCATTTTCCCTAGGTAACATTTTTAAGGCAGGATCTTTTTTGACTTATAATGGAATATTTCCATAATGTGGTATTGTTACTTTAACTTAGTGAATGACGTGTTTTCTGACCAAATAACGTATAAAGATAAAGAAATTCCAAATTATTTAAATAAATATGTTATTTTAGTTTAGATACTCTAAAAAATGTTTTATATTTTGATCAGTTAAAACGTAGTTTGAGCTTTTGTAAATGTTTAAACAATCGAAAAAATCTGAGTTTTTCCATTCAGAGCTGCTGTAAGCCTTTATTGCTGCAAAGAATATACCCAAGTTATTATTTATGATTTGTAAATCCAGTTCCCCATTGATGTAGATAATCCTAAATTATATGTCAACATAGCTGCCAGCACTAATTTTCTTCTGTGATAATAACATCAATATTTATAATAACTATGTGCATGGGTGATAGATATTCTCACAGGGCTGTCGATCCAGTAGATTTACCTTTAATGCTACTGTGCTGGCTCAGGGGATACACAGAAGCCCTCAGAAAAATGAGCTACAGATGTGGGCCCTCAGCCATGCAAAACGATAGAAAGAGGGACGCATGCAGGAGGGAGAAAGAGAGAGAGAGAGAGAGAGAAAGACCTACACTCTAAAAAAAAGTGTTCATATTGCATAACGTGACTGCTTTTATGAAAAACTCACAACTCCAGTTTCTTTCATTAACTTTCACTGATTGAAAATGGCCCCATGGCACATGAAAGCTATTCAAAACACATTTTTATTATTTCAAAAACGTATCTCTTTCAGAACTTAGACTTAGGTTTTATTAATGCTCGGGTTATGTTATTTTTCTTTCTGCTCAGTTGGTTAGGTTTTCATCTGACAGCCCCTCTAAGGGGATTGAATCCTCGATGTTTCTGATGAAGCCAAGGCCTTATCAAGGGGCTACTTGTGGCCAGTAAGGCAGCGGGACGCCGACAGTATCGTGAAGATATGAGCTTTGCTCTCAGACGATAATTGCTTTCAGCTTCGTTTTATTCATTTCCCCCTTTCTGTCTGCAAGCTGTGGAGAGGAAAGGAAGGGAAAAGGAACGTCTACAAGTTTGTTACCGCACATAAATGCAGGACCTAGCTGCTGGTCTATTTAAACCCTCCCTTCTTCTCTCCTTAGGCTTTTGGTTTGGTCTAATGAGACTGGTCTTGAGTTGAGACCTGGCCAAACAGTCTTCCTTCTGTCTGAAGCTTAATGGCTCTTTAGAGAGGATAGGGTCGTTTGCATATCTCTTTTTGTGTGTATCTGTATTCCCAATACAAGTTTTTTCTAAAGCTGTTCATTTATGTTTCACCTGTTGTCCTCCACTCCATATCCCTGTTGATCTCAACCCAATGTTAAGCGCATTCACTGTTTTCAAAACTCTAAAGGGAATATCTAGTTTTCTAGAAACACAAATACAGCTTGACACAAGCCTTCACTGAAAGGCGTCTGTGGATCCAGACAGCATTGTCTCCTGGTGATTAAAGTGCTGTTGTTACAATACATGTGGAGGCAATCCCCCTCGTCCCTGTGAGCTATAAATAACATGTTTTACACAGTGTACACACATGGTCAGAGTCCCACGCACGTCTTTCTTCCATATAAAAGAGTGAATACACATCACAGGTAGTGAACAAACATTTTACAGGCCCATTGACATAGCTTTGCTTTGACTTGGAGAAGTTATTGTCAGGAAGGAATTTTTAACTGTGTTTATGGACATGTTGAATTTTACTTGAGGGTTTGAAAGGCAGGCTGACATGCTATCTGGACGGCCGTGTGCTGAGTGAGAGCGTCCAGTGGACTTAAGCGATTCTGTCTTCCTGTTTCGCGTATTGATTTACAGTGACTCATGACAGTCAACTACTTTTAGATCATGAACTGTGAATTTGATGCCAAACCTGAGTTCAACATCTTTTTGTTACTGGTGGATTGGAGAATACCCAATATGTGCTCCATCCATCCAGTATTGTATTATATTTCATGTAAAACCCATACTCTACTTGTAGGATATAACTATTCAATCGATTCCACCCATCCATCCATCCAACAGACCAACTATTTTTCTACTTAATCGTCCATCAAACCCTCCATATCTCTCTGGCAGTAACTCTCTAATGTGACTGCCCCACCTTCTTCTCTATTCCCCCATTTCCTCTCTCCATTAATCCCTCCATCTGTCTCTCTTTCCCTACACCGGGACATTCTTAGTACTCAGTAGTGGCCGTCTGCTATGCTTGGAAGGTCACAGTGCTGTCTCTTCCAAAAGAAATAAGGAAAGGGTCTGAAAATGGCAAGCATCAAATAAAAACCTTGACAGGGAGCTATAAACATGCTTGTTAAGCATCTCAATGCCCCAGTTCTCAGTGCCATTCCACATGGCTATAGCATAGTGCCGGTAATGTGGCTAACTGCTAGACCAGCGGTTCCCAACCTGTGGGCCGCGGCCCCCTAGTGGTCCGCGAAGGCATTGCAAGTGGGCCGCCAAATTATTATTATTATTATTTATTTATTTAATTTAAATTTTAAATTTTGTACAGGCTTAAGACACAAACATGGACATAACAATAACATATAGGAGATGACATTCCCATCTCAGACAAAAACAAAACAAAAACAGAAGAAATAAAGATACAGTCAGTAGGATCACTTCAACATTTCACAAACAAAAATATCAGAATCAGAATCAGAATACCTTTATTAGTCCCACAGAGGGGACATTTGCATCGTTACAGCAGGAAAGAGCCACAGACAGCTTAATGTTACAAAAAAAAAGTACTAAGTTATGATATAATAAAAATATTATAAAAAAATAAAAGTAAAAAGAAAGTTACATATACTTTTCAAAATACAAATCCTGTAACAGTTCTTAGGATAGGTTGACAACCAAAAACCACCAAAAACACAACATGGCAAGCATATGTATTGTTGCTTTAATCACACTCTTCGTTAGAGCTAATTATTTCCCCTTTGATTTTTTGTGGCAATCATTTTTTTCAAAAGAAATTGTATTTTTAATCTACTCTTCAAACACCTTAAATTAAGATTACTCCTTGATTGACTTTTAGAAATATGTATTTTTAGCCAGAAGAATAGTTGTATTTATTAACTGTGTGCAGTCTTCATCTAAAAGCCCAAATAAAATATTAAAGGGTGTAAATGTAAATTCAATATTTGCCGCCAAATAATTTGCAAAACATTATGATTTGTGTGGAAACATTTTCATTATTAAGATTTTTTTATTATTTTAACCTCTTTTCCATTCTGTTTCTTGATTCTCCTTAGCAACGATCATTACAGTCCTTGACAGCGGTCTGTTATACTGGATTTACAACGTGTCACATGTTCTGAATCGACCAATCAGAACTTTATTTAGCCTCCGTATTGTTTATGGTTGAATGTGGGCCACGAAAACATTTGTGATTCTCAAGTGGGCCCTGAGTTGAAAAAGGTTTGGAACTGCTGTGCTAGACTGTCACTGACTCAAACACACTCTCTTCATCATTCCCTCTCTTACCTATTCACTCTCTCTCAGTCACTACATCTCTCTCAATCTATGTGTTTTTTTTATATTTCCTTCTCTTAATATCTCTTTTACCTCATCGCCGGTTTGCCCTCCAAAGTCTTGGCCATTGATAAAACATCCACTAAAGATGTGGCCCTCACATTGGGTCATAAAAGTAATTTCCCAGTGATGTCATAGCTTGAATTTCTTGCAGGCACCAGTCTCCAACCTCAACTTTTTGACCAGCAGCAATAAAATAGAAATAAAATAACCTAACAAGTTCAGCTGTATTGCATTTTGAGACATAAAAAGAAAAAGTCATGGTAATTACATGTCTATTTAAAAGACTGGATATTTTTTAAACAGAACTACTTGAGTTACAGCCTGTGTAAATCATCGGAGGAAGGATTTATGCAGTAAGCCAAAGATTATTTTACTGAAAACAAATTGAGTCCAATTGAGTAAGTGAAGTACCTTTCCATCTCTTACATATTCAAAGGTTCAGGTTTTCTCAACCACTCAGAGTCTTACTTAATCTGATAATGGTATCATTGGAGGATTGGCAGGATTTAGATCTACTTGTTGACATTTTAATTTTCTGGCAAAGCTTCCCAGTGTCTTGGGGGAATTGTAGGATCTGTTTCTCTCTCTGCTCATTTTCTACTTTTCCATCTGTTTTAGTCTTTGATGCTCAAGGGGCACATGTTTAGGTTCCCTACGGGTTGATGTCTCCCAGTCAGAGTTGCGCTTAACCTGTATAAAAAATCAACTTAATTTAGCTAAATTACTTAAATATTTTATAGTTCCCACTAAATCATTCTTAGCTCAAAATAACAATGATATTTTTAATCACAATGTCATGCTTGTAAAGTCTGGGGTAACACTTTTCTGTCTCTCTTTCCTATTGCTGTCTTTTTTGGTTATACAGTATGTGTGTAGTATTGTTTCAACTCTTGGGTTTTGCAGAGCATGCATATTCCATTGAATAATCCTGTATCATTTGAAACAAATCCAACGTATTTATGTAAGCTTGAAAGATATAATATAGCAGTGTGGTTTTCTAGCTGTCAAACAACACAGCAGGACCCACAACATTTTATTACTGGGCTTTTTTTTTTACTGTCACTCTATTAGAGGGTTTGTGTTTCCATAGACCACACACACTCAACAAAGTTAGATCAAAAGTTTATTCTGCAGCAATTCAAACTTTTACATCAGTGTTAAATAAAGATCAAAGTCTTTAAAAAGATACTATTTTGAAACCTGTAATTTTGCTTTCCGGGAAGGCATATTGGTGCTGCTAGGTTTTAGGTTCACATGACATCACTGTCATTAGACACAATGACATCATCACTGAGGGCACGTTTCTGAGGCTCTGCAACGCCTGACTGAGCACAATTTATGGTTTAGAGCAAATCTCTGAGCGATCTTTGGCAAAGTGATGACTGCTCACTGACTGCTGCCATGCTGTGGAATGAGGGGCAGAACACACACACACACACACACACACACACACACACACACACACACACACACACACACACACACACACACACACACACACACACACACACACACACACACACACACACACACACACACACACACACACACACACACACACACACACACACACACAAACACACCACAGTGACACAATGGAACAGCTTGCCTGAAATTAAATATATATCAGCATGCCTCACTAAATGTAATATAACTTCTGCATTGTAGAGATAGTATTTAAGTCCTCCGCTCTCTAAACACCGTCTGGAAGGCACAAATGTGACCCTCTTTCAACCCGTAGACTCAGATTCAAACAGCTGTAATGACTAACATCTACAGTTTCAGAAGTCTATGCCATAGATCCAATCTCTTTGAGGCCTATGAACTTGCTGGAAAAAACAGATGTGATATATATTTCATAAGTGTATCAAGAATTGTGTTAGGTCCCAATGTTTGAGAATCTTACGTGTAGTTGAATTCAGCAGTGAGGAGTTTACTTTTCATTCTATTGTTGTTTCTGTTTTGTAATATAAGACAACAGCATACCTATATATGCATTACAAAGAGGTTCCCTAATTGATGGTACCCGTATCATTTCTCTTGTAGAATGCAACAACAACACAAAAATAGATAGGTGTGAAAAACTAAAAAATGTTATGCTCTTATCTCGTCCTCTAGCCATGACTTCCAGTCTCCTGTGGCGGGCCCTGTGCCTGCTGGTGACGCTCTGCACTGTGTCACACTTCAGCTCCGCCACTCACCACCCCGGCCCCTCAGCTCCAGAGCAGGGGGTCACCTTCAGCCACGTCTATAAAATTGACATCCCTGGGACTTCCAGTTGTAAACTTGAGAGCCTGCCAGCCCAGGACGAAACAGGTCATAAACAATAATAAGAATTAGAGCGAGAAAGTATGCAACTGAGAATAATTACTGAAAGAACATGAGTGGTGTATGAGTGTGTATGCAGAAAGCTAAGTGAATTGGATGAAAGTCTGTAAACAACAAGAGCTGAAGAAACTGTTTTTGTAAGAAATATGATAAGAACCTAAACCCTTTCAACACAAGGATATGGATTTCATGGATTTCATTGGGAAACAATATGTTTTATTTTTGTAATTTTATATAGGTCAGACTACCCGCATTATTGTACCTCACACTTATTACGTAAAAAGTTTAGGTTGACCTTTTTAGGTATCTTTTTTTCCACTTTCAATGTTGTCAGTAGCACATGATGGCTATATAGATATTTAATCCAGAAATGAATATTGTGTTAAATAAACCGTATCATTGTGTGTAAGGATTGTGACCAAAAGTAGTATCTAAAGTATTGAATATATGTACGTCTGTAGGTCTGCAGACTGAGACCACTTCTAATGGGGAGAACGACATCACCTTCAGACACAACATCAGGCTGCAGACACCAAAGTGTGACTGTGAGGATTCTGAAAGCTTCAAGTCACTTTTGTACAGAGTCAATGGGCTGGAGGAAGAAGTCACCTACCTAAAGACCGCCTGTACCCAGGGATGTTGTGGAGGTGGTGGAGCCGCAGGTAAGCGGTGCCACATCCATAGACTGTATACAAAAGGTCCACAACCTACAAATATTGACCCACAAGCTATAGTCCATGGAGGAAGAAGTATACTCACTACCTTAAGTAAAAGTACCATTACCATATAGAAATAAGTACATTCCTGCATTCAAGATTTTACATAAGTAATACTAAGAGTTTTTTAGGCCTACATAGTTCTTAGGAGGATCTGATTTATTGATTGTTGTCAGGATGTAAAATATTTTTCAACAAATGTAACAAAAAGCTTTAAGTACAGTTCTTGAGGATAAATGTAGCCTACTTAGATGTATACTTTTGTATCACTCTTCTCTTTCTCAAGGAGTGGACACAAGCTGTAGTGGGCATGGTACCTACCAACCGGAGACCTGCAGCTGCCTCTGTAACCCAGGATGGGAAGGCCCAGACTGCTCCGTGTCCTCCTGCCCTGACGAGTGCAATGACAACGGTCGATGTGTGGATAGGAAGTGTGTGTGCCTTCAGGGCTACACAGGCGAGGACTGTAGCCAGCTGATATGTCCAGACGATTGCAACGACAAAGGGCAATGTGTGGATGGCAAATGTGTGTGTTTCCCACACTTCACCGGCGAGGATTGCAGCGTCCAGAAGTGTCCCAACGACTGCATTGGTAACGGCCAGTGTGTGGATGGCCAGTGCATCTGTGAAGAAGGCTTTTATGGCGAAGACTGCTCATTAGGTAAGCTATTAAAATGCCTAGCAACACAAATTCTTTAAGGCTGTGAGTAAATTTGTGAACTAGTTAACATTGCCATGGTGAAGTTAGATTTAGATTTGATATTCAAAAGACTTTTACTCAGAACCTATCAGTGTTTCAAGATAATTCGTACCTGTTTTGTTCAATGTCCCATAGAAATGAATTGCATCTGAGTAAGCATGTTCCACTATAACCTTTTTTCTGGGTGATTTATAGATGTAGGGTGTAGTTTAATGACCCAGGTTTTGATCTGTTTCTCTTCTGAGGATTAGCATTCACACCTCGTCTTTTTATTTAGTCACCACTATGGCTCTGCTGACATTAAGCTGTGAATGTTAACTGCCATCTTATGGAAAACACAGATGCTACAAGGAGCTCTGGGACCATAAAAAATACAAGACTTGCCCTTAAAGCCCAGTTCACCTTCAGATCATTTCCTTCCTATATCATTTAATGAAAACTTTTAGTAGGACACTGAATACATGTATGGGACTAAGAGCAATCAATTCATGCTTATTTCAATGTATCTGCTTTATTCTGTGTAATTCATGCTGCACCATCCTTGGTTATTCAACTGCAAAAGGTATTTTTCTTTAAAAGAACATTTATCATGAAAAGCAAAAGGGTACTAATACCTTGATAATGGCTGTGCATCACAGTAAGCCATGGCAGTGTGACAGTGAGCTAGCATAAACTATACCAGGGCCCTAAAACCAAAGTAAATGGGATTCATCGACCATTTATTATATTTTTTTCATCCGTTTTTATCATGTGACATGTAGAATGTGTCACCTTGCAACGCTGAATTTGAACTCTCCTGTACCAATGACATGGGTTACAACTGTTTTCTCAACCAACTCTTTCTTATCTTATGAGGCTTTTAATTCTGTTGACTTTTCAAATATATAATCATTTATAACTCGTTGAGCTCCCTTAAGAGCGGTCTTCTTGGCGACATTTCTGTCCTACTTAATTTGTAATAAATGGTGACCTAAACTAAAGCAAGTCATTATGATGGCCACGGTGACCTAGTTGTGGGGAATTTAAAGCATCTCCCCAACAGTTATTTCAGATAGAGCAGCTGATGGGGCCTTTCCAGTGGGCTGACCCTGTGACCCCTGACAGCTATGGCCTCTAGACAACATATGACATGAGGTCACAATTTGTATTGTACTACCGCTGTAAAATAGGAACACCCATCAGTCTTTCTTGACTGCCACCTTGCAGTGACCCCCATGAAGAATGATCACCTTTCCTGCTTAACGCACTGTTTACCAAAACGCTATTACTGTACTGCCTCAGGAGCAGAGTGCGAAATTGCATTTTATGGCAATTTAAGGCCAGGCAAGCAGAAAGGTGCACAGCAGCAGCCAGGTCAGTTCAATCTGCTCAGTTCATTCATTCTGTGACAGCCATTTCTAAAGATTTCTTGAAGAATCAGCCTCAGGTGTTTAGCTCAAAATGTAGCTTTTTTAAGTGTTCATCTTTGGGACTGGAAATGTTTGGTAATGTGTCTATGGCGTTTTATCCTCTTCATTTAACTCGGAGCACATACTTTAAGCAGGAGATTTTAATGTAAGCTACACGTGGATTGACCACAAGAAAAGCTCAACAACCAATTTCAGTTCCTGAACCACAGTCTTCGTGTTAGCCGCCAGGTCAGCTATGTCAAACTCTTCATGGTGATTTAGTTTCGTCAAGCTGTGTTTCGCTCAGCAAAGGCAGGCTCATGTGTAGGTGATGTTGAATGGAGTCCAACATTAATAATGGCCCCGTGTGAGAGGAAAAGTCAGGGAGGAAGAGAAAGTGGGTGGTAAGAAAAAATATATACATAGTGTTGTTTTTAGCTTATGTAATAATAGTGGTAATACGCCACAGGGGAAGAAGAGACATTCTTTGTTTTATTTGGCTACTTGCCATTTTAGCACCAGGATGATGGATGTCAATCTGCTCCATAGGTGAGACATGACTTTTGAAGTGTGGATTGAAAAATACTAACCTCCGGTAAAGCAGCGGTAGTTCCTTGCCGTCAATGTTAATATAGCTTCAACATTATTATTTTTTTCTCGCCACAATTGAAGGCAGATGCAGGTTTAGAGAATCAGTGGTGATCTGACAATGAAAATATTAGTTTTTGTCGCTAAAACTCTATCCATCACATTAGAGTTGAAAAGTGAAAAGTATAGCAACCTCCTCCAATGACATAATCTAGACACAAAGCGGTTGAGATTATCAGCGCTTTGAGTCAAGTGAAGAGAGTCAATTCTGGAGAGCTATTTCAACACAATGCAGATGCTTTGGATTTACGATTCTTACAGTGGCTCCTTTGACTGTCTCAAAAAAAAGAGATTAAAGTCAACATAATGTACCCTTTGAGTTATGTCCTCAACTCAAAACCATATTTGGCAACTTTTCTGAGTTCTTCTGTGGATAAAGGAAGTTTCTCAGAGAAGTGTCGAATATTTACAAACAGAAGCAAAAGCTAATAGTACACAAAGTTCCAGTTGAGTGAACTCCTATTTAATTTGTCCCGAACAATATTGACAGTGATACTTCCTTAGTGCTCACTTGTTGCAGATTTATAGCCTTTATAAGAAGTACAAACATGTTATTTCAATATTTTTTCCTCAAAGAAGACACAAATCACTATTAGTTTCCACTTTTCGCAATCTTAATATGTTAATTTATCCTCCCCAGCTGTTCTTAAATATTATTCTAGTGTAAAACCTGTTGATAGTCGAGTCTAAAGTAGCGACAGGGGGATATTAACTGCTACTGGATGGAAAGGATTGCTACGTTTGAGAAAAAAAAACATTTGGCTTCCTGACTTTGCTTTTGGAATGGCATTTGAACTTGATGTGAAATCCTTCCTTGCCAAAGTTATGGTTGCTTCCTTCAACACCCATTCACTTGTTTGTGGAAAGCCTCACTCTCCAACTCTGCTGACTCGCTGTCTCCTGTTTTTGGCAGCTTTTTTCTATATTATACTCCACCGTAGTTTAATACGATGTTATTTGCACCCTGCCATATGTTTTTCCATCATCACCTTCTCTTTGGCCTTGTATAACCACTGAACATTTATATTTTTCCTCTGATTATCTCAGATAACAAATTTAAAAAAAGAAATTCCGTAAAATGCATTGCTTGTTTCTGGTTCATGATTTCTTGCTTTAAAGCTGGGGTAGGTCATTTTGGAGAAACCAGCTCGAGTGCGCTAGAATTTGAAAATACACAGCCGGAAAAAATCTGCCACTTCCTTACAGAGCCCCTCCTCCAACACACACGAACGCGCACATGACCAATGAGGGCACGAGATAAGTTTGTGCACAGATGGAAGGCTGACAGGCAGGTAGGCCATCCAGTTATTTTAGCCGGGCCGGCTAAAATGATTGGTCGTGCTTTTTACAGTATTACGGCTTCCACAGATGACATTTTTTAATGGATTTTTTGTCAAAGCACTTAAGATATTCATTGCTATCGGGATGTTAAGAGCATTCCATGGAATATAACAAAAAGTGTATCTCGAGCCGGTTTCTCAAACTTACCTACCCCACCTTTAATTATAATTGTAGAGATTTAAATGTGTATGTAAAGCATGCACTGTCTAACCAGTGAATATGGATCAAACTGTGACCAGAAACCAAATAGTTGTTTATGAGATATTTTACCTATAATATTTATTAAGCAGGTTGTAGATGTTGAGATTAAATAAAGTTGACATATGTAAAGAAAGTTCAGCAGAAATGTATTAAATGGGCCTAAATGTAAAAAATATTAAAAAATATATATTTTCTCCTAATAAAATGTTAATATTGTTGAATTGTTTGTTGTAGTTTGATAAACAGGTATGGGGATTTATATCTCGTACTGTTTAAAATAAATATGAATTAAAACTAAAACATAATTATTTTTGCTTGCAATTGCATTATAGCTTTTTTTCGCCACTTTTTCTCATACTGATTTTATATGATAAAATAAATTGACTTCAGGTGTTATAGAGAAAATTACAGAAGAGAAAAGGTTTACAGTGAAGCAGTCAAAGATGTGATCAAAGTGATAGAACAGTGCATTAAAATGTGGTACCTCTGTTAATCCCTTTCTCTCTGTGTCCTTTTCTTTCTGTGTCTCCCTCTGTCAGTCCTCGGCCCTCAGGGTCTGCGGCTGGTCCAGGTGACAGACGTCTCTCTCCTGGTTGAGTGGGAGTCAGTTCGCGGGGCAGAGTATTACATTCTGACATATCATCCCAAAGATGATGAGAGTGCCCTGAAGCAAGTATGTTCTTTTTTTCTTTATCTGTGTAGCTTTGTCAAATAAATGCAGTTGCATATAACCATATTTTATCGCTTTTATAACACCTTTGCTTCAACCCACTGTATCTTAGGTTAAGGTTCCCAACGCAGAGAACTCCCACCTTATTACAGGGTTGAGTCCCGGGGTCACTTACATTGTCCAAGTTTATGCCGTCATCAAAGAAATCCAAAGTGAAGCAGACAAGGTCGAGGCTACCACAGGTAAGCACAGTACAGCGGAGTACATCTGAAAAACAACATTGGGGCCTTAAAATGGCTTTTGATTAAATGAGCATGACACAGATTGAGATCCATGACTGATGAAGTAGAACAGGGCTGGATGCAACATGTTGCCCTTTAAATGTGTCTGTGGTGTAGCATTAAAGTCATACAGTATGTGACCCATTAAAAACTGATGTGCCAGGGTAGATTAAGATTTTCTAGAGTTACTCGGCAAGACAGTCTGTTCCCTTTATGCTAAACAACTTGCAGTGATTTGTGCAAGATGGGAAGTTTCCTGTATTTAAACCTACCGTAAATGTCTTTCACGGAAATGTTTTGCTGGAAAGCAATGGACAAGCTAAAGCCTGTCATTACAAAGTGTTTCATTAAGCATTGGTTTGTTCATCATTAAATGTAAAGGTAATTACAAGGAAATGGCTACACGGATGTGTTTAATGGAAATCGGACTTGATCACAGATGTGCTGGAGACAGATGTGAAGAGCAACAGTTTACTAGACCGGATTGGTGGGCAGACAGATGGACAGAGGGAGAGATTGAGTTTGACTCTGATGTGTGGTTAGCCTGGTTAGCCATTAAAAAAAAAACCTCACAGAGCACAGCATTCCCAAATGGGCATGAGAAAACACGACCTCATCTGGCTTATGGTTCTGTGAGTACACAGCATGAGGCAGACTGGTTGCATAGTTTTCAACTTCAAACGATGGTCTACTTCAAAAGAGGGATTCAAGTGAATGTTTTTCTTTTTCCTTTAAAAAAAACCAATAGCTGGCATGAAAAAAAAAGTCTAACCCTTTTCATTTGGTTCAATTTTTCGTCACTTTGTTCTGTCTATTTTCACCATATGCTATGATTTTGACATCCCTCCTGGGTATGTTAATATCATAAATGGAACCTTTGTTTTTCAGATATATTTATCTAATGGCATATGTGTGAAAAAGCCTTTAATGCTCCTAATCTTTTGCAAATACTCCGGTCTAAGAATGTTACAGTTAGTATAGTACGTCTGAGTCACAGCATCATAGAGGAGGGTATTGTGTATATCATGTACAATGAGCATTACTAACATACTTTTTCTATATAATTTAGAATGTCTCCGGTTCAACATTATATAAATGTGCTAGTATTTGATTATTCATACAGAGACTATAGTGTGCACTTTTCATGCCATTAAGGGCAGACACTGTCCACAGAATTCTGTAGGACAAGGTGTGATTTCTTTTTATATAGCCATGTACAAATGTTCTAATATTACGTTTTGTTATTACATTTTCCTGATGGCAAAACATCCTGAATGGCTCTCTCCTTAGAAAGGTCTCATTTCAGGGTAAAAGGGATTCATCATCTTGCTCATGGACATGGGAGTATAGTAAAACAGATGCTTGTGATTACAGGGGTTTTAATTTAAGCTTTCCAGTGTAAGGGTCACGTCTGAACTCCCTGTTCCACCTTGCTGTTCAACACTTGTATCCTTCTCAGATGTCTCCACTGTTGATGGTATCAGAGTTCTTGGCCAGACAGAAGTCTCCATCAAGGTGGACTGGAAGAACCCGCGTTCTGAGGTGGATCACTTCAGGCTCACACACATCAACCCAGCAGGACAGGAGGAGGAGCTTAACGTCAAGAGGAGCCAAGAGGCGCGCACCAAACACACTATTGTCGGTAAGTGTTGTAACAGACAGAGAAACAAGTTTGAACACAAGACTTAAGTCTCTAGGGTTGGCTAGCTGGATGTTATTAAATATCTGCCCTAAAGGAAGGGAGGCTGTGCATTAGCTGTGTTTGCCCCAAAATTAGATGATCATTTACCTCTCAATATTCTCCTATCATCCTATGCAGAAATATGAAAGCAATGTATACTCTAACTGATATTATTCCCCTTTTAATTATGCAGTTCCTTTTTGTCTGTTTTGTTTTCGTTAGTGTTTGCATCTACCCTAAAAATGTTTTTCTTCCTGCAGGTCTGTTTCCAGGAACAGAGTACCAGATATCAGTGCAGGCCATCAAAGGAACCTCTGAGGGAAAACCTTCCTCCGTCACGGGAGCCACAGGTCAGTGTCAACACATCGCCCTCCATGATCCATTTACCCTAATCTGTTACTGAGTGCAAATGATGTATGTAAGTTATCAGTAAGCACAAAATGGGATCAATTGTCTACTGCTGAATGGAAATTGCAGGGATTTGCGTTAGTGCTTACACCAAGTGTCTGAATTGGATGACACTTAAAATGAAGGATCAGCCACTTGTGGATCTGAAACACATTAAAGAAAAAGTGAGGACATCCATATTCCACTTCTGCATTGGGCAAAGCATCAAATACAGCTCTTAGTTCTTGTCAAGCAATTGGTAATTCCTTAGTGGTTTGAACGTAATAGGAAAAACACATAATCTGTCATTCTCAATGCTGAAATGCGATATGATACAACCTGGTATTACCATTGATGCACAGCCAATGATAATGACGTAATGATGACAGCAAGCAAGAAGCGTGATCTTGGGTTAATGACGGAGGGCAAGAATTTACAGGCTCATAACCTGGACAGGTCTTAATGGCTGTGGTGAGCCTAACACCAAGACGAAACATGAGATCAACGATGTTACGACTACCCTGATGTTCGTGGTTTGAAGGTCCATCATTTACAGATTCCATATGGTAATGTTGGATTCTAGCGGTAAGGTATTACGTTTTATGCCTTTAGTTTAGTATTTGGTTTTTCAGGACATGTGGAGGAATTAATTGTACAGCTTTACTTTAACAGCTGGTCCTGTCATTCAGTTTTTCTATGGATATTGTTTAAGTGACAATACAATTGTCCATAACGGCACAACAGGTTTTCAGTTTCTCACAATATTCTGTTCAATACTTTTTACTTTTTTGAAACGTTTTCTTACTTTTTTCCCCTCTTTCTTCATTCTCATTCACTTTCAGAGCTTACTCGGTTCAAAAGCAGTCTCCAGGTCGATGGCTCTTCGGTTTTTAGACCCTAAGGCAGCCAATTTAATGGTTTTTAGTCATCAGAGCTAGCTTGGTATTTTCAAGACTCACCTTGCTCTTTTGCAGCCAGCCAGGTAGTCAAGGGCCCCTGTCACTGCTAATCTTCCCCTGTGTGAGTGTGCTACCTACTTGTGTCATAATTGTGTGTGTGTGTGTGTGTGTGTGTGTGTGTGTGTGTGTGTGTGTGTGTGTGTGTGTGTGTGTGTGTGTGTGTGTGTGTGTGTGTGTGTGTGTGTGTTTGCGTGCCTGCGTGTGTGCTAATCTACACCAGACAGAGAGAGGCTTGTCTCCACTCCAGTAGCTACAATCCCTCATTTTAGCTGTTGCATGAAAAGGCTTAGAGGTGATTGAGGAGGATAGTCCTCGGCTCTGCTTGCCTGCGAGGATGCGCTAGTTTCAGGAACCACACTCACCTATTTATTTCCCCGAACATGCTGTTTGCCATGGGCCAGTGTGGTTGGATTCAAGGAGAGATACAAGGAAGATGAGGAATTTGTGTAAAAGAGAGCAAAAGCAGTTAAGTAAAGAAGACAATAAATGGTAGTTACAGCAAGAAATGATGGTTAATCAAGAGCAAGACTAAGACAGAATATGAAAATGAATGAGTCCCAGAGAGACGATTTCAGTGACATTATATAGCAAAGCATAATGCATTAATGTGTAGCTACTGTTATTAAATGAAGCTGAGCTTTGTCCACAGAGGATATAACTGAATACTGTGGAAAGTCTTTTCTATAGCTTCTCTCTTACTCCATTTTATTTCCTTTATCTGCCTGTTTAAGTCTTTTCGGACTTTGCTTCTCCTAAAACGTAATAAATAACCACTTAAATGTATTTAATGTGACAATGTGGAAATGCACTTATGTTGTTTCTTCAATATGACAAAGTTATTTGAAACCTGAACACATGTTATATTTACAACGCTATTAAGGGTGCTCATTATGGCCTTGGTATCGTGAATTGTTTGTAGTAAGGGAATGGCTCTACATTAAATATTTACGGCTTGCCTGATTCACATATGTGCATCTAATGTGGTTCTATAAATCATCCTCTCCTCTTTACTGCCATCAGTAAAGGAGAACCCCAGAGTCAAACTTGAAACACACATTTCACACTCACTAACCTGCCAAAAGTTCATAAGGCGTAAAACACAACATACCACGGCTGCTACTGCTGATTCTGATTCAATAAAGTAGCCACCAAGGCACATATAACCAAAAGCAGATGGACTCGGCTTTAGACGAGAGGAATGTTTAGTCTTTATGTTATCAGGACATATTAAAGAAACCCATATGGCCCAATGGGATTCACAGGTCTGCTCAGACTGGGTATGTTATGATATTAACATACTAGTCTGCTCAGACTTGTCTATCAGCATTTTCTCTGTACAGTAAAAGAAAATGACAAGGGAAAATGTGAGAAGAGACATTTGATGGAGATAATAAACTACAGTATGACCCTTTTTTGTTGTTTCATTATATTGGTGTTAAAAGAGACAGCTCTATTGGCCTGTTCGTGTGTGTATGTAGCAACAAGGCCAAGGCACATCAGATATACTGTTCTCTTTTATTGGCATTTGGAGGATTAAATACCATTTTTGCATTTATTTATGGTTACTGTAATACAGCTCATTGGTATTTATATATTAATACATTTAGGTAAGTAGACAGCAAGTACATCTGCATTTGAAAAAAACCCTCTAATGATGAAAAACTAATGGTGTAATTTCTCAAAACTGTGAAAATGGCATGCCTATGGTACTTCTACCTCTAGATGTGGTGAAATAAACAGATCAGTTCTGTCGAAAAGAATGAATAGCTGCTTATAGTACAAATAAATTGTTGGACAACCATGAAAAGCATGTAGGAGCCAGAGGGCTCACCATCAAAACATAAGTAACACCTGAAATACTGTCGTGTCTAAAAGAATGGCACCTATTGACTCATAATTTCCTCTTGGCGACATCCGCCGACCCACATGGCTCTAAAGTACGGTGAGGCTGTAAATGATGAAAGACAGCCTGTTACTGCGCCTTGTGGTCAATGCCTCTGCTGAACATGCCATAATGGATAAGCTGTTTTCCAAATCACCAAAGCCCCAGCTCGTGTGCTGCAGCCCGGTAGCCACTGTCGCTGCGCAGCTAGTGAAGTACAACGTCTGGAGAAACTCAATCCATCACACACTGTTCGAGAGCAAATGCAAGTAGAAAGCAGCTGTGCTTGGAAAAAGATCTACAGTAACAGCATATAGAATATATCAATTTTTAGTCAATTTATTGAACATGTCAGAAACAAAACATACAACAATAATAATAATATATATATATATTCTTTTTTTTTTCTTTTTCTCAAAAAAAAAAAAAGACATTCTCAAATAGTCTCTGTCATGTTCAACAGGGGCAAGAAGAAGCTTAAAAAAACGTTTCTGGTCCTACCCCCTCTAGCATACATTTCCCTTATAAATAAAATATTAGGTCATCGTCATCAGCGACATGTTTGTCTTGTTAATTTGTTTGTTTGTTTTTTGTTTTTTACAAAACTTTGTTTTCACAACAAAGAGGCAAACATTTACTTTGAAGGAGAACAAGGCATTATGTACACACTTTATTTAGATGGTTACTTAAAAATCTAATTTAAGTTAATTTGTAGAGACGGATAAAACGCAAAATAACACTAACTTGTATTGGATAAGATTACATCTATTGCATCGCTTTGGTTTTAAAGTTACAAAATAAAAAGCAGAGTTCATTCTCTTCTGACTGACTGTAGAAAATCAGTGTTTGTGGTACAAATGTTACAATGTATTGGTTGTCAAAGCGGTCTGCTGTTTTCAGTGTTGTGTTTCCTTCACTGTGGATTATAGCCAGAAAGCTCTGATGGATGACTGGCTGCATAGAAAAACAGTACCACGATAGAGGTTGGAGGCAATATTTTATGGTGTTTAAACTCTTTTTCTTTTGGACATGGCACATGAAGCGGCTAGGTTTTGCCCTACCTCACCCAACAACTTGCCTATTGGACTGTGCATGTGCATTTCTTTCTAACCTACTGCTAGTGCCACTGAAATTACATTTCTACTAGAATGTGTGAAAACTACTTTGCAGTTTCTGCCAAAATTTCAACTTGCCAATAAAATCTGCCTGGTGGCCTATGCTCCTGTTTGTGTTTCATACTCACAGTTCTGGTGTGTGAAATTATGAGGTGTAATAGTAAAAAGCACACAGTCTGTGTAAACATTCAGCCTGCCACAAATGTGTATATTTTAACAATATACAGACAGCAAGTCCAATGAAAATAAGATGAAAAGGAGTGCGTTCTACCGATCCAGCACTTGGTCACATGACATGGAAGCTATTGAAACAAAACACAACTTTTTAATAAGTTCCTCAATAAAATATTCGTATAAAACGGAAAAAGTGTGATCGCAACAGACCAAAAAACATGTGATAGATGTTAGATTGATTTAGAACACGTTATTAAAGTATAGTATTCCAATAAACTAAACATTTAGATGGATGCCTAATATGCTTGGCAATTTGCACATGTAGTTTCAGGCGCTTGCTGAGCACCATTGGTAGCACTCAAGGTGCTTTGACTACTGATTGACCTCTCATTTTCTTGGCCTTGCGGGAAAACCCTAATAAAATGGAGCTATTATAAATTCTTTCTGTGGTTAAGCTCATGACAAACTGTCAAGCAGTGCAGCCACAAGGACGGAAAAGTGACAACGGGAGAAGAGAGACAGAGAGGGGGTATAGAGTTAGACAGCTGCGTGGTTCCTTTCTTCTCCTGGAAGCATCATTAATCAATTTTCATGATGCAGACTGCGCACTGACACAAGACTGACCTCCACTGAGCCGCTGCCACAGAGGAATCATCCTAAATGATGATTGCTTTTACATTTCCCTTCACTTCCTCTGTGTCTCTCTTTCTATGCCTCTGTGACTCTTTTATTTGCTGTCTCCTTCCCTTTCTTTGCTGCTCTCTCACTTTGCTTTCATCGACATTCCCTCGGCAGACTAACACCCATGCACCACCAACTGCTCCGTCTGCGCACCCATATGTCTCCTGTGATTCCTCGAGCTTACTGACCTTGGTAACAGAGGCTCTCCAGTGTCATCCCTCTGCAGCTCATCCTGTGGAGCTCAATGATCAGGACCAAACCATGGGTTGTGTGTTAGTAACGTTCTCCACAGAGCTCTTTCTCTGAGACGTTGGGTCCTTTGTCATTCACAGTAGCTATACAAAAACAGTATATGGATAACAGACTTACTGTAAACACTCTCAGTCAGATGATTACAAAAGAAAACAGCAATCAGTGAAATATATTCAAAGTGTTTTATAGTTCATTCTTGACAAACAATGCTGATTCTCTATTTAACTCACATCACTTCCAAACACAGCAATTTAATGATATTCATACTCTACATTATACGATTCTCATCCTGCCCCATGCTATTTAAATAAACGCATCCTGGGTTTGTCGAGACTGTCCTCTAAAGAAATGCCTTGAGTCTTTCAGCTCACAACATATGTTTATGTTTAGTTGACAAAGCCCTCTGGTGACTGCAGTTGTTATAAGGGAAGCAAAGGAGGAAGTCAGGTGATGTTGATGTTTAGACTCTATCATGGGAGACCGCTCTTCGTTTCAGCCAGTATCAAGGTTTATTTTTAAAGCTTGATCACGATTGTTCCCAAACTTTAATCCCATTTTTATTATTGTAAGGTCCCCTAAATGTGAAGGCAGAATGTGAAGACTTTTCCAAAAGAAGAAGACTAGAAAAGCAACCCCTCTAAACGATCACAGTGTAGAAAAAAACGAATAAAGAGCGACAAAAGGCCAAGAAGACAAAGCTCAATATTCCCCCTAAACTGGGTGGGTCCAACATAGCAGAACCTATTTGTTTGTAATGATGATGATGATTAGGTCATAATAAGTCATCTTTACTTAAATTACTTTTTTTCGTTGGTCCAGGAAACACAAATATCCAGTCCATCCAGTAATGCCCTCATTAGCAACACGCTAAAATGTGAAGTTTCTACAGTTTCCACTGCCAATTTGAATGGACTAGATCAGGGGTGTCAAACTCAAGGCCCCGGGGCCAAATCCGGCCCGCCACCTCATTGTATGTGGCCCACAAGAGCTTGCACAGAATATAATACGTTTATTATAAGGTTACGTGCCGCTTTACAGGAGCACGTTGCCCATAAACTACATGTCCCACAATGCATCTCATTTTGTGAGATGCACACTGAAGAGACTTGCAATTACTTGCAATTATTTGCCCTAGACTTCTGCTTTCAGACGTAGTTAATTAGGAAGTTATTACCCTATCCGATAATAATCCAATGCAGAGGAAATATTGTTAAATAATACATTATATTATATATATGTATCTATGCATATTTATATAGTCTTAAAGTTACCACCGGCCCTTTGAGCGCAACCATAATTCTAATGTGGCCCGCGATGAAATTGAGTTTGACACCCCTGGACTAGATAGAAGGATTGATGAAGAACAATCACTTTTTTTGTTACTTGCATGCTTGTCTTTTATTCATTTTCTTCTATTTCTTCTTCTTCAGACATTGACTCTCCTACTAACTTGGTCACCACTGAAGTAACAGAGGACACGGCAACAGTGTCATGGGATCGTGTCCAGGCAGAAATCGAGGGCTACATGTTGAGCTACACCTCTGCTGATGGCTCCAGCAGCGACATCCCAGTAGGACGTGAGAGCACGTCGTACAGGCTGGTCGGCTTGAAGCCTGGAGTTCTCCACACCGTCTACATCTGGGCCTTCAAGGGAGACAAAGTCAGCAAGAAGAGTTCAACAGAAGCTGAGACAGGTAAACTTTGAATGGTACCTTGGTTCATGTGTCTCCAAAATCAATCCATATAACGTTTATATAAATGCTCGACAAATACGTTAAAAGGGTATGGTATTTGATATGAATCTTACAAATAATTCAAGGAAGGTCAAGCATAACAGAAAAATACTAACTCTTTGGTACAATGGTAACCTGTAAATATAATGTATGATGTCCTTTATTGTTTTATGTTTCATGTGGAACCTATTTGCTGCAGGTCTCCCTTGAAAAAGAGATCTATGATCTCAATGGGACCAATCTGGTTAAATAAAGGTTTGAAATGAAATGAAATGAAAATGGTAGATGTAAAATCAAACGGACCTGTGATTCTCAGATACCTTGAGTGTTCATAGACAGCGTGCTTCCTTTTCTTTTCTTTCTTCTTTAAAGTCTGTGAGTGGAGGGAAATATATTTCGAGTATCTCTTCATCACTTCACCTTGATCTTCTTTCTGTAGATTTTCAGCAAATTATTTTTTTCCAAATGATCACTTAGCACACTGACCCCTCTTAGCTAATGTGCCAAGAGGACATCTTGAATTTACCTGAAAAAGGCTATTAAACATAATCAGGCTTGACACCTCATTGAATGTAGGTTAAGTTTACCAGGGGGCTGAATGTCTTAGAGAAGTCTAAGTGAATTTTGCTATGTTAACAAAGCCAGGAATGTTGTTTCTCCCGTGTCTCCTGGCTCTTCATCTGTGCTGTTTTGAAGGTTAGCAGCTGTTGGTGTCTGTTTGCCTTTTTGTCTCTAAAGAAAGGCAGAGGAAACACGATTTTGATTACTGACTGGCGTATTTCGAAATTGCTCTAGAAATTGAAAACGTTTAGGACTCTTAGCCTTTAAGCAGTAAAGAAAAGAGAAAGAGTCAAATATATTCCTCACATTTGTATTGTTTTGATTGTTTAATGCCAATATTATAAATGTTTCTCAGGGATTAAGAAGGAGAGCAGCTAAATGTAAATCTCCCAGCTCAAACCACTCTAATTGTTATGAATATGTTTATAATTTGTAACATTTTGAGTTCCGACTTTTCACTCTTGCCCTTCTGCAGGTTTATGATTTATGGCAAGGCCACCATTGCTCTGGCCACATGGGGAATATTAACTCCTTTTAGTTGCTGTGTTTGTTGAACATATCGGATGTATCTTTCCATATTTTTCTGTTTTTGTACACATCTTCATTTTTTTCCATTAAGGGTTCAGCTTTCAGGTTCTTCCTGGTTACTTTTGATGAGGGAAGCAGACATGTTAGCTTCAATAAGCTCACTCATACATCAACCAGCAGGAGTGCTCAAGGAAGCAAATATCTGAAGTGGCTTGAAACTCACTTTGCTCCTGGTGATGTTAGCAATTGTAACTCCCTATTGATTTATCAAATGGAAAACATGTGGAAGAGTAAGTATTATTATAAGGAGTCCAGATGGCTTTGGAAAAGCAACATCAATGGTTCAGGTTTTTCTTATCTTTAACAATGTTCTGTCACCATCTTTTGTTTTGCAATAGTAGTTTGCATGTTCTTTAATTAACATAGCTTATAGTATATTTATAGTAGCTCTGCTTACATAACAATGAGATGTGATGTCAAACTTGGATTCAGGACCTCAAAGAAAAGACTTGTCACAAGGAAAGAATAGTCATTCATTATTCGAAAACATTTTTCATATTCTTGATAAGAAAACCACTTGTTTTGATTGAAGAACCCAAAAAAGACCATCAGACACCTCCAAACACATTTATCCAAGTTTGATGTTTCTACCCTCTAACCAAGTAACTGAATGTTATGTATAAGAGGTAGCTGTGTTTAGTTGTTGTTATGTTTGCACTTGATATATTGTTGTTCTTTCGTAGTCTGAACTAACCATAACTCCCCATGTAGAGCTGGATGCCCCTACTAACTTCTTGGCCCGAGATGAAACTGAGTCCAGCTTCAGGGTGTCCTGGGATCACACCAAGGCCGAAGTCGATGGCTACATGTTAAGCTACAGCTCCTCTGAGGGCTTGAGTGAGGAAATCCCTGTCGGGTCTGAGAGTACTTCCTACGTGCTGACTGGCCTCAGACCTGGGGTCCTCTACACTGTCCACATCTGGGCCATCAAGGGGAGCAAACCCAGCAGGAAGATATCCACACAAGCGGAGACAGGTCTCAAAGACTTTCTGTTTGAATTCAAATAACTTAACTATCTGATTAGCTATTGTCTAAAATGTGGGATTAAATGCTCATTTACATGAAATAGTATGTTGAGGACCCTTCAAACAATGTCAAAGATACTTTTTTTTTTTACTAGACCTGGTTGTTGAATATAATTTTCAACCAATGTGTAATTAGGCCGATCCCAACCCCCTTACCTTTGCCCTACCTCAAGTTCTGGAGTGCCACAGACATTAGGGGTTGGATTATTTACCTAAGAAATTTGACACCACTCCTTACGACATCATTACATCATTAGCTGATAAAATAGGTAATTATTTAAATATTTGTTTAAAAAAGGACATGCAAATAACATTACCTCTCAAATCAGGGGAATTTTCATTGATGAACACAATTTGGGATCTGCATCTGAAAGCGCCTCGTTTGGTGGGCTGGACAACCTGTTGATCCCCTAAGCAAGGAAACAGGACACTCTAGCCTGCATGGCGGCTTGCAAAACGGAGGAGTGGCCCAAATGAGGAAGGCCTTAGTCTGTTACATAATCCACAACTCTATATGTAAACTACAAACTATCGGCAAAAGGGGAATCCGAGTCCAGCTTTAGTTTTTCATGAAACCTGCGGGTCTTGGAATACCTTATGGACTGGTCTTGAGTCTTTAGTTTGCATGTGTAGTATAATAACCACCTCCAATAACATCTTCCTCTAGACCTGGATGCTCCTGCTAACCTCTTAGCCCGAGATGAGACAGAGTCCAGCTTCAGCGTGTCATGGGATCCAGTCCAGGCAGAAATTGATGGCTACATCCTCACCTACAGCTCCTCTGAGGGCTCTAGTGAGGAAATCCCAGTCGGGTCTGACAGCAGCTCTTACAGGCTGACTGGCCTGAGGCCTGGTGTCCTCTACACTGTCTACATCTGGGCCATCAAGGGGAGCAAAGCCAGCAAGAAAACCTCAACACAAGCTCAGACAGGTCTCAAATCTACCATTTTCTTTCATACTGACCACTTAAAGCCATGCCTACATTTAAACTGAACTACACACTTATTTTTTGTGGGACTGTTTATTTTGTATTCTTCATATTTTATACAGTTATTTAGACAAAAAAACTCTATTTTAAAACCCAAAAGAAAAAAAAGTTTCACATATGGTAGACTAATCGGCTTAAGGAAGTTTCAAATGAATTCATCCGTCACTTCATCCATCTACTTGCCAGTTTCTTGTGCGTTTCACAGCGAGCACAGCAGAACAGACGTCCTTTTTCCTCAATAATTTACTCCAGTTCTTCCTGAATAGTCTTGTGCCAGCTCAGAGGTGTAATCCATTATTTCCAAGTGATCTTCACACCTCTACCTGCTACTCTCGAAGAACCTCATCTGCCAACGTTTGTGACCACAGATGAAGGAATGGCTGAAGATTGACTGGTATCTCCCTACACTGGTGTCTCCCTAGAATTCACTCATATGTCTACATTGCTGCACCCAATCCCTCTTACGCTTTTGTCTTTCTCTTAAGTCCTTACTCTTGTGTAAAAACCCAATTTATCTGGATATTTTGTGAAGCTGCCTGCACATCTTTTCCAGAGAAGGACAACTTAAAGCATCAAGGGACTTCTTTCCTATAGTTTGACAGCCTATTTCACTCCTGTTGTGGACCACCGTCTTTCTACGGGTGTCCACCATCACTCTACACCTTCTAACTACAGCTTTTCACAGCTGCTTGTATGATAGGGAAATTAAACAGAGTCCATTGTGTGAAGAACCTATGATTGGATAGAAAAACATTTGGTTTGGAGTTGGGAATTAAAATAGTCTGGCCAGCAATACCAAGCCTTTTTAGCTAACTCAAAGGGCCACATGTTGTGACCAATCAAAGTGTTCCTCCTTTCAACATCAGGTGCACCAGAGTCCAGGATGGATACATTTATGCTTTTTTTCTCACAATCACCATTTTCCCAGTCCTTACACTTTGGCTACCAGGTATTGCCTGAAACCTTCAACATTTCTGGATGAGCTGCAAGGTTCATTCGACCATAGGGGCTCTAGACGTTTTTTCTTAGCTCTTGCTATAACCGTGACTCCATATGCAGAACTTGGAGCTCCAACTAAACTCTTGGACCATCATCAGCATGTTCTGAGACACAATGCAGTCAAAAATGAATAAACACTCTGATGTAAGCTCAAGCACAGAGAAGCCTCTGATCCTATGCTGACTCTGACAAGCTTACTGCCTCTTCTTTTCTAATGTCACATCATTTGGGCAGTGAGGAACATTTCAATCTCATATATGTAGAGGGTATCTTATTTGTTTTACGATGTAATATATGAAAGTACACATTATTGTTCTCCTTGTAATTAACACTATATAACTAATGTTTGTTAGCAAATGCATGCCAGAAGATTTCATTACAATGCATCTTGTAGTTTGCATCTGTAGTATAATAACCACCTCCACTAACATCTTCCTCTAGACCTGGATGCTCCTGCTAACCTCTTAGCCCGAGATGAGACAGAGTCCAGCTTCAGCGTGTCATGGGATCCAGTCCAGGCAGAAATTGATGGCTACATCCTCACCTACAGCTCCTCTGAGGGCTCTAGTGAGGAAATCCCAGTCGGGTCTGACAGCAGCTCTTACAGGCTGACTGGCCTGAGGCCTGGTGTCCTCTACACTCTCTACATCTGGGCCATCAAGGGGAGCAAAGCCAGCAGCAAGATTTCAACCAAAGCTGAGACAGGTTAATACGCTACCAATAGGCAGGATTTATTTTGGTTACAACAAAGCCCTCCTCTCTCTTGAAATATCAATCTATCTTAAAATGCACATCCTGGAGTGTTTTAAATATCTTGTTTATAGATACTAAAAAGCTGTGGAAGGCCCATAAACACAAATGTTAAAAAAACTGCTGTGAAAAAACAGATATTGCTCTCGTCCAGATAATAATTTATTGTTGGTCTGTTGCTTGTGGCCTTTAGTTTAGTGATGTTGATTCCATTTTAGCAGTAACAGGTCCCCGTCTTGGATCAGCATTGTGTACACATAAAGGAAAGTTGTAGCTTTCATCCCAATAGGGTGATTTTAATGTAAGAGGAAAACAGCATTACATTGGGTTATGGATTGCTGCATACTGTTTGATGTGGCATTACTGGATACACTGGTATTCACAGGGGTCAAGGGTTAGTTATCAGAGGTCAGTGAATGCATCCTGGGACGGAGAATCACCTGTGGGGCTTACATCATTTGTGAGACATATACCTAGATGAACTGCTTAATATGTCAACCCCAAAACTAAACTAAGTTATAATAATCTACCACATTGTGTTGATGCCTGCTAAACCAAATTAACTGAACATTGCTGTATTATTTATTCAATATTGATAATGTTTTTTTGATCGATGTTACACTAAACAGCAATACATCATTTCTTACCCCCTAAGAAGTTTAATTTATTGAACTGTAGATTTCTTACAAATACCAAAACAGTTGACACTTAACTTTAAAACTATGAGGGGGAAACCAAAACTCATCCTGTGGCTGGAAATGTGTCCGGGGGGCCGAGGCCAGGTCACTGGGAATGTCCGGTATCTTTTAGGGGTAAAAATAGCAGTGGCCGCACATGGTGAACGGGTTACAACAAGAGTATCTTTGTGTGAGCCAGATGATCTGTAAAATCACCTGGGAGCTTTAAGTGAAAGCGGGAACCTTTTCAATTAGGCAGAAAAGGGCCGCGTTTTGGATTATTAACTTGTCTCGTCATTCAGAAACGTTTTAGTGGCTACAGACCAACACCGTGCTGGGTTCAGATAGGAAAGCCATTGTGTCACAAGATATCATCTGGGACCCATAAAATGTGTTACTCCATTTGTGATTTTATTGGACCTAGTAACAGGCACTATTAATCTGTCAGTTTAGACTGTCTTAAACCAACATCTGTGTGTTTCACAGCATTGCTTTTAAAAAATGATGTCACCAATGGCACCCCTAAATCTGTCACTGTTAACACCTTTCTCCCATTACAATTTCATTACCTGAAAAGACTGAGAATTTGAGGGTTTCTGAATATAATATATTATTGTATGAGTTTTTGACCTTGACCCTGTTCTCCTTTGGGGTCCCTCCTAAGTTTATTATTTCCCTGAATTTTTGTTAACAAACTCAAGTAGAAGCAGCACCAAAGTTCAATCCAGTAAAGATGTATTAAATAAACCGTGTTCTCTCTGATTTACATCAAATCCACAGACATTGATGCCCCCAAGGACCTGAAGGCAACAGATGTGTCGCTGGAGTCTGCCCTTATGACCTGGGTTCCTCCTCTCGCTGACATTGAGGGGTACATCCTCACCTACAGATATGAGGAAGGCAACATGGAGGTAACTTAGATATATTTTCTCTCTCAGAAATTGTAGACACCACTTCAAAATGTATTCACATATGCTACAACTGAGGTTGTTTAACATTTAAAATTAAATTACATCTGTAAGTACAGGGATTTGTCATACAACTGTTACATTGAGTTACAAAAAACATTTAGAAAGCTGAGTTTGACCATAGGAAGATGAAAAAAACATTTTATTTTGTATTGAATGAAAACAGACCTGCAGTTAATTTCAGAATACTGTGGATGACAATATTCAACTTAAGAAAGTTGATTTAAACTCTATATTTGTATTAACAAGCAAACAAATATCCGCTCAACATAATTTTGTATTCTTTAAAACATGCTGAGGCGACAGTAAAAGTGATTTTAAGCTCTGTAGTACGCTGACCTCTTGTGGTCAAAATAATTTAAACTACATGTAGGATAATCTCTTCCTTAATAGTTTTGAATACCCTAAAATTATTAAAAATGAGTCTACCTAATGCATGTGTCTTATTGAAGCTTAAGACAATGTCATCTTTCATAAAGTGAGAGCTCAGTCAGATTAAATGCAATTGTGTATTGTGTTCAGACGGTTGAAAAGCAGATTGGGGCCAGCGAGAGCAGTTTTGCTTTATCCAGTTTGGAGACGGGGAAGAAATACATCGTCACCATCATCGCCTACAGGGGGAGCAAGAGGAGCAAGGTGGTGGAGACCTTCTTCAAAACAGGTCTGTGCACAGTTCACTGAGTCTCTCCTGCTTTCTGTGTATGATGCTCTTTTCTGAAATTGGAATTTTTATTAGTTTATGTCAATTTCTCTGAGACGTCACATTGTGAGTATTAAATAGGTATTACCCATTTGTGCCCAAAGACTACATTTTGTAAAAAACAATTATTCTGATTGGTATTCACTTTTTAGTCCTGGTACGGACATACTCTGGGCAGGTATAAGGATAAGTACACCTTTAAAATGTTTAGATCACATGAATGATCACAATTGTATCTAGTCATATTCCAAATGTTCGTAAAATCGAGAACAAATGCCAACTTTGCACCTCTATGGCCACAAAAGATTAAGATCTAGTTCACTGTGATCTCACAACACATGTTTTTTCCATAACAAATAATGTAAATGGTACTTAAGTTGGGTTAACAACACCATCACATGTCTTCTCTAGTTGGCCTCGTGAACCCCTTCCCTGTGGACTGCACCCAGGTCATGAAGAATGGCAATAAGAAGAGTGGCATATACACGCTTTACCTTAACAACGACCGCTCCAAACCATTTGAGGGTTTCTGCGACATGGAGACTGACGGAGGCGGCTGGCTGGTACCAATTACTTCCACTTACCAAAATATATAAATATGATTTCAATATTAAAGGTTCCAACGAGTCACACAGCCTGAGAAAAGTTTAAGTCTGAAAAGTTATCCTTCGTTTTTGATTTGTGTTCTCAACTATATAGGAATGCAGTTTTAATTAGCCGGAGTAGCCATGAATTATAGTAGTTGCCAGTTATAGCTACTGAAATGTTAGTGTTGGAGATGGTAACCAAAGAAAACATTTGGAAAGATTTGTGTAACAGATATGAGTGAACATCCTGTGTTTGCTGCTTTCAGGTGCTGCAGCGACGTAACACCGGCAAGCTGGACTTTATGAAACGCTGGAAACATTGCATAGCCGGCTTTGGCAACTTGACAGAGGAGTTCTGGATTGGTGAGCACCGGTTCTTAGCAGCAATTGAAGTATGCACATCTGAACATTAATGGAGCATGTCCTCTTGTCTGGCTGTTCCCTCAGGTCTGGATAAGATATATGAGCTCACCAACACTCCGACTCAGTATGAGCTGAGGATTGAATTGGGACTGGGCGCCGAGAGAGCCTATGCTGTGTACGACGACTTTAAGATTGCAACGGTCAAGCAGAAGTTCAGACTCACTATCGGCAAATACAGTGGGACAGCAGGTGGGACAGCTTGCTCCTTAAATCTCTTCCAAACTACCAATTGACACCATATGGAACTTACAACATGTATATTCTCTCAGACACTTCCCTCAAATAGAAAAAGGAAAGAGAACACGCAGTAGGCACCCCACCCATTATTCTGTGGGGTGCTGAGAAAGCTATTCACACTAACAAAAGATGGAATCTTTTTTGAGAAAATGTGTATATTCTGTCAGTTACAGACATGAGCTATATGGGGAAAGTGATGTCTAAAGAAGGCAGGGCTTTTGTGGGATTTGAAGCCAGACAGATGCAGACACACAGCGAGTGGGAACATACCACAGTGTGCTGGAACAACATATACTGTATCTCTCTATTTCTGTCTTTTTATTACATTTCTTCCATCAGGGAACTCATGGGAGAAAAGGAAGTGAGCAGAATAACTGTTAGTAGAGAAAGGTTGAACTGCATACAGACTGTTCTGTATTATATAAACATTTAGGCTCTATTAATTTTTGATTTCTAATGATCCCCAGGTGACGCTATGACCTACCACCAAGGCCGGCCCTGGACTACTATAGATAACGATAATGACATCGCCCTTGGCAACTGTGCCCTCACCCACCGCGGCGCCTGGTGGTACAAGAACTGTCACCTGGCCAACCTCAACGGAAGATGGGGAGACAGCAGGCACAGTTTGGTGAGTGAGCAGTGAGGCACTCCTGCACTGATGTTCATAGGGTGATATCCTGCCATTACTGTGGATCTGCCCATTTTGGGTTTAAAAAGACGAAAAAGTAATAAAAAAGACAAATTAGAAAGCTAGTAGGAGGGTTCATGTAGGCTAAATTGTCAAGGACAAAGTGTTGAAGTTAACTCTGAATATGAAAATATATGAAATGGAGTCTTCTCACCAATAGGTGGCACTGACAATGTTATGTGATGATAGATTTAAACATACCCATGTTACCTGTTAACAGTCTAAGGGTCCTTTCAAATAAGGCTTTATACTCTCATTTCTAAACTCCATCCCCAGTAATTGATTTAATTTCTCGTTCTAGGTATAAAGTTCAAATTTGCGTTGCAAAGTTTAGCTACACTGGAGACTTTTTTTAATTGTTTATTTTCTGTGTTTGCCATTCTGAGTCTCTTTCAGTTCAAAATGTCGATGAAGCAAATCCAATTTTTATCGAGCACGGTTTTTAATTAATTTAGCAGGTTTCAATAGAGAGGCGTGCTTTTCTCTTCTATTTTAATTGTGAATTTCTCTAACTGCTAAAGGAAATATATTTAGCCGTTGAACAATTACCACTCAGAACCAGCTGATTTCAACTTAATATATTTGCTAGCGCTTAAATAATGCTCGGCAAATACAACTAATCATGATACAAAATGGAACAGCCTCTGTTATTTATGTTCAATCAAAACATACTTACAAAAAGAAACTTGAAAAAAGCGTGCTCACTGGGAAGCTGTTCCCTGGTCAGCAATCAAAGACAACTTCACCCCAGCCCTCTCTCAGTTGTTTTGTTTTAGATTGTTGAGATGAAGCACAAATGGCTTGAATCCATCAGCAGTGATGAGAAAACGCATTTCTCACACCAGCTATAAAGCATAAGTGTTTTTTACCAGGCTGATAGGATAACAACAACAGTTATTATGTCTAAGGGAGTCTGATACTGAAGAAAATGCCAGTGGAAATGTTCTGCTCGAGACTTCATCCATAATATTGCCGCTGCAGATCTCTCCCGCAATGTTTGTCGGCGAAATGCAATAACAGTCAAAACAAGTTTGTACTTACATGAAATGAAGCCAGAGGCTGGTGTTTAATAGTGTTTGTCATTCTGCCTGTCTATCATTGTCGCCTGCCCATTTCTCTCACCCTTTTCTTGTCCCCCTCATTTCCCCTCTCCCTTCTATTTCATCACTCCAATGTATACCGATACTTAACTCCCTTCTTCAATCTCCTGCCGCTCAATCTGCTCTCAGGGAGTGAACTGGGAGCCGTGGAAGGGCCACCTGGTGTCCCTGGACTTCACAGAGATGAAGATCCGACCTCTGGGAGCCATGTCCAGCAGGAAGAGGCGATCATTGATGGCCAGAGAGAAGAGCAGAGCCACAAACCCCCAAAAGAAGTAACAGTGCATCTCCCACTAAAAGCACAACAGTCATCACCAGTCCCATTAACCCTGCATCACGCTAGACTTGGGTGTTTCTGTACATTTGTTCATACTTATGTCCGCACATGCCTGTATGTGTCTAAACTCTTGGACAATATGTACACACACTGAAAGAAATTCGGATATGGAATAATAACTTATTATCTGTTTGTATGCAATGAGATCAATCAGAAATTCCTAGGTTTAGTGTGTTTGTGGGAAAGACAAATGCCTTGGTGTTGTTTTGAGTGAACTGAATATTGAACAAGTTTATCAGTTATACTGCAATTGTTATTCTTCCAAACTCCTGTTTCACTGATTCTGGTACTAACTTCAATTACGGATCAGGAAACAGAAGATTTAAGTTAAATTGGGAGGTGAAAAAAACTAATTTTCTTCAATTCCTTCATTAACTTTCTTTTTAACAGGCCTCCGGGCAGCAGCCCAGGTTATTTGTATTATATTTGTTTATTTGATGTCCTATGAAGATTTGAGTAGCAGCTTTTCTTGTGTATAGTAGCACTGTCATAACAACATAAATGTAAAAAAAAAAACATGCGAAAATGCCTTGTGTGGTTTGTTTTAAGATCAGCTCTGAACAGTTAGCGAGTTAGTGCCCTGAGTTTATTGACGGTGAAGTTGGCTGGCTGTGTCACATTCAGCTGTCACTGCCCCGCAAACACTGTCACATCCCATCAGTGTGTACAGAGCCAGAGAATAACAATGGAGGCTGAGTGACCATACTGCTCCTGCTTTACATTCATCTGATACCGACAGCGCATATCAATCAATGCAATGTGCCGACATCAAACGCCAATATGGATGAAGTGTGTTTGCACCGTCCTGAGGGACTTAATGAACAAACTCTTGTTTTCAATCTGGAAAGCTGACAAAGGTTATTAATACTACTTTGACTTTGACTTCATGTATAATTGCATTTTTTACACTTTTATTACAAACTGTTGGTTTACGAGACAGGGATGGAGCGCACAAATCAACTTTTCTGATGATTTGACAGATTTCATCTAAAAGTACCCCGCTCCTCCATAAATGTAACTCTCACTTAATGTCTTATCTTTAAACCTTCACGGCTCATAAGATTTTATTTGAACAAATCTTCAATCGGGAGTTTCAAGGTCAGAAATTAGGACCAATTCTAAATAATTTACAAACCTGTATATGTCCATTTTGTTTTACTAATTTCAATCACACCAACATTACAGATGCACATTTATATTTGTGCCATGCATTCACACAATAATTCAATAAATGAATATGTTTTTTTATATGAAGATTGTCATTTTCTAGACCCTTAGGGATAAAGTTTGGACAAAATACTTGGCATTTATCTTTCCGCAGAGGTTAAAGTTGAACATTTGAAATGGGAATATCAGTAAGGTCTTATTAATTTGAACTACGACTGTAGTGCTTCATTTCTGTATCAAAGAATTGATGCATCTTGAGATAACAGAAGACTAAGAGTGTTTAAAAATGCAGCTCTTAGGCCCCGTCCTTTTAGCTCTGTTAAAGGATATAATCACATTTTGTCCTCATGCAGTTTTAATGCAGCTGTAGTTAGCTGAAGCCTCATAAAAGCTTCAGTTGTAATTTCAACTACATCACTTTGTCCTCCATCCCTTACAATAAACTGCTTTAAGGAGGGCTCTCTTCACAGCCAGTAAGGTCGGGAGAACAATTACAGCGATTATTAAACCTTTCAAAGAGATATTTGAACAAATCCATGGATTTAATCCCAATGAAAACTTGCTGATGTTTTGCAGGTAATGTTAACACTGTTGATCATCTTCATTTGGTGTGTTATCATCAGCTGAAGTTGAATCTTCAAATGATCTTAATGACATTTTGAGTGATAGTGATCCCATAAGTAATTGAAGTTATGTGTGAGGACATTTGTTCCACATTTAAAGGTGATCCATCCAACAGTTCTGAAGACATCTCACTCTCAAACCAAAATGTCAACCTGCTGGTGGTGCTAGAAGAAAAGTCACTGGTTCAACAAATGAATTGGGATTCAGCACTAAAGTATTGGACTGTCAGTTCATGATATACACATCATACCTGTGGTCACAAAGCTAAGTTGCATTACTAATTTAAAGGCAGGGTATGTAAGTTTGAGAAACCGGCTCGAGATCGCTAGAATTTGAAAATACACAACCGGAGAAAATCTGCCACTTCCTTATAGAGCCCCTCCTCCAACACACACGAACGCGCACATGACCAATGAGGGCACGAGATAAGTTTGTGCACAGATGGAAGGCTGACAGGCAGGTAGGCCATCCAGTTATTTTAGCCGGGCCGGCTGATTGGTCGTGCTTTTTACAGTACTACGGCTTCCACAGATGACATTTTTTAATGGATTTTTTGTCAAAGCACTTAAGATATTCATTGCTATCGGGATGTTAAGAGCATTCCATGGAATATAACAAAAAGTGTATCTCGAGCCGGTTTCTTAAACTTACCTACCCCACCTTTATTTAACACAACTTTTGTTTTGGTTTTCAACAAATCCCAATCTTCATTAGCAGATGGAGTTTCCTGAGTTTAAAATCACATTATTAAATAGATTACAAATTAAATTTGTTTGACACTTGGACAAATGTTTGAAACAAAAGTGTTCAGTGCTGACTCTGTAGTTCCTCTATCTATGACTGCAAAGTCCCCGCAGTGCAACATTTTCATCATACTGAATTGAGCAATATACTTTCAGTGACTGATGACTGTTTGCCGTCTGGTCTCACAACAGTTTCCCAATTCTGTATCTCATAATCTGTAGACAGCAGCAGTTTACTGGCTGTCTGAGCTGGAACCCATTTTACACGGCTGCGAAAAGTCTTTGGAAAGGATATAAATAGCAAACATACCACTTAAACACAAAAAAAGATAGGGATCGAATTGAAACAAACAAAGTTCCACCTTGAGTAATGCCATTCCTTCCTCAAAGGCCAAAGAAAAAGTGAAACGAAAATGTTTTTGAGTGTCTATTTATCGGAACAAATGAGTGTGAGAAGGCTCCTGCAAAATTTGGCAGCATATATTTCCAGCATAGCTTGTCATTTCAACTTTGAAATGAATGTCTCACAAAAGCTCAGTGATGCGAAAGGCCTTTTCAGCCACAGTGATTGCAAATTACTTTAAGGAGATTGGTTCCTTCCACTGCTCTGCAAAGCAAGTGGTTTGCTTGTTGCCAGCATAAACAGAGAGAGGAGGGTATTTCTCTCTCTTTCTTTCTGTCTGTCTGTCTCCCCTGTGTTGCTACATACTGTACAGTATAAGCTTGAACACATTACACTTACGCCTGGTGTTCAGCGTGATGTGCTTTTTCCGTGAACTAGGTAGTGTTGTAACAAGGGAGTGTTTGTATGAAGAGGAGGCGTGTGAGCTGTTCATGGAAAAGAGGGAAGTACAGACCAGACAGAAGAGGAGAGAATACACTTTGGATTAACTTCTCTTTGTCAAAATGTTACCCTGCAAATGACTCACCCCAATTTCATTATTATTGGACACATTACAGTATATAGACAAGGTGTGAGTTCACTAAACACCTTTCTGAAAACATATGCTAAAACAGTAGCCCTTCTATCAATATGTTCTCCCTATTGAGATGCGATACTTAGCTTTATGCGATAAGGAATTATAAAAGATTAATCAAAATATGCTTTAGTAGCAGGAGTGGTGTTATATTAAAGTTGAGCATTATTTAAAAAGGCTTCTTAAAGCAGATTGGTGAGCCCCTGTCTGGATTGATTGAAGGATAATGTCACGTTTGGTTATCCTACAGCGTGACTTCTGCGTTCACCAATGAACTTCTTCTTCACTGAGGTGTCGGGGGCCTTGTGACTGTCCTTGACAATGACTCCTGGGGGGCACAGCCTGTATATTTAACCTGCGGAGCCTCATTCAGCTGAAAACGTTTTGAATTTCATGGAGTAGCGCAGTGGGACAGAGGCAGAGTGAACTGCTTACATCAGGCTTTGAGAGTGAACAAGCAGAAAAGTTGAGCACGGAGCAGACTGGTGACGACTTTGCAGCACTCAAGACTTACAGAGTGACAGACAGGCGAGTACAAAAATAAAACTGTTGCGTTGCCTAGCAACATAGGTGCTACGCAGTTGCTCCCTTCTGTGTGATTGTGGGCTATATTCTCTATAACTTTACCATACATCCCTATGTTGGCTGCATTGGTGTTTATTTTCTTCTGTTTGTTATAAAATAAGCTTCAGGTTATCTTATTTATTGTGTAAAAAGTGTTCGATTTCCTGTTTGTTTGTCAATTTGTCTTACTTATGTCCTTTTCTCTGGTTAGGTACAGTGAGTCTATACAGAAGAAGGCACTTTATCGATTTATATTTCATAATCAGTTGTTTGCAGAGGCTGCAGTGCTTTCTTTAAAAAAGGAATTTGCAGTTTTTTTTAACCTCAGGGCTCTGTGGGGTGATGCTCCTCCACGGACTCTGACATTTAATACAATTTAATATGTAGCTTAAATGTTCTTTAGTTTGACAGTACTATCACACACACTTTCTTTAGCACAACAGAAGGCCTACTTCTACTTTACAATATTATAGTACTCTTTTCATCCCTGCAAGAAGCACACCTTTGAGATGCCTGCATCCAACACAGTGAAATGTTTGGTGTTTTGTTCATGTTTGTGTTGGTATCAGAGGCACCTGTGCTCTCACCACTCAGCAAAAATGTCTAGAACAACAGCTTGGTTTACATTTAATTCAACGACCCGTGTGACCTGAATGTGGCTGTTTTCATGTGCTTCTCGTGATAAGTCCAAAATGTGCCAATAGATAGAAGTCGTTGTCAGATGAAGCATGACGGGGTGAGCTCTCAGCAATTGAGAAACACTCAACTGAACGTGTTAAAAATCCTGTCAACTCATTGATCATTGTTTACAATTGATCACATCTTTGCTAAGCACATCAGTGATAAGAAAACCAATTAGTCATGGAGCTGGATACACCTCCTCATGTCACGGTACATAGATGACAAGATGTGAAAGATCATGATCACACCTCAGGCCTTTAAGAATGAAATAAACACATATTTTTTTCTGTTTACACTGAGATTGAAGCTATGCTGGAACTGACAAACCCAAAATATCACACGCTAGTTAAGAATAACGTTCCGCAGAACATATTTCCCAAAGTGCATGTCAGAGCATTAATATTGTCAAAGATAAATCGCTCCTCAGGCCGAACTGATTACTTGCATCAAAGATTGCTCCGCTACGGCCATCAATGCAATAATGAAAATAACATGTTCATGAACATCACTGGAGGCAGAAGTGCTTATTAATTGCATTGCTCTCAGCCTTGTTCATTTACAACGTTTATACCATAAGCAACCGCTTCCCCTACCGCTTTTATCTACTTATCTTTTAAACTCGCTGCAGTTAAAGTCGATGTGAGTGTAATAAGAATATTTTTAGGCAGATGTCATGCTGTATGTGGATGTACCACAAACAAATGTGACTCTTTGTAGTTTCTTTCTTTCACATTTCACAGTCAGTCACAGTTCCTGTGGTCTCAGTTAGAACAGTGTGTTCAAAGTCTGCACAAATGAGCAGGAGCATTGTTCCTGTATGCTGTAGATATATTTAAATGTTGTGAGCATATTGTCTGAGTCTTAGCAGCTTTGTCTTAAAAAAAAAGCTTGTGCATGATCACACACAAAGATAATGACTTTTTGTCACAACTCAAAGGCTCCGTTAACTTCAGTTTACATCAGAAACAGAAGGATGAAATCACACTAAAAGCTACAAAAAAATACTTTATTTTCCACCCTGTCATCTTCCACATTGTGCTGTCTTTATCATTGTATCTCTATATGTCAGGATAAATTATTCATGCAAAGCCCAGCGAGGCATCCCATTTGAAAAAACTAAAATAATCACCTCAGCATTTTTCAAACTGTAAAACAACAGAAAAGATGTCCTAAATATACGATGTCATGCATAATAGGATTGGATCAAAAAGGATGTGCTACATATCCAGCCTAAAACAATCGAGGACGGCAGGTTTGTTGTTCAAACAGATGACAAATCCTCCCTTTACTGTTTCCTCTGATCACAGCAAACTGACAGAGGGAAAAACATACATTTCATTTTCTCTACCTTTTGACTCCGGCAGCTAATTTACATACTTCCTCTAAAAAATACAATATGATCTGTGAGAGAAGTCAAGCAGAGCGTGGCACATTATCAAGAATACGGCCTAAAAGGTGTTAAGAGAAACGCCTGGATGTTGTGAACATGTTAACAGGAAACAAAGTGATCTCATTAATGCAACCAACACCTCAGCAGACATTCATAGCACATGGCGGTAAAAACACCCCCAATACTGTATGATGGATTGGAAAACAAATAATGACTATCAGTAAATCTTGGTCAACTTGTAATTTATTGCAGCAGGGAGGTGACTGAGAAGTAAGGAATTAAAAAAGTATTAGCATTCATATCGGAATAATTGATCGTTTTATAAAGAAACAGAAAACCATTATATTCTTGCACGCAATCCCTTGAAAACTGTTGAAACTATTAATTTATGTTTTGCTTTAGGCAAGGCTTGCTAGTTTCCCCTTGTTTCAAGTACTAAGTTAACCAGCAACATGTTTACCTTTAAGACATTTCATCTTATGCCCCATTTACACGAGAACGCAAACACAAACGAAACGCAAACAAACCCAATTCGATATAACAAAAGTCTTCCGTTCACACGGATGCAGCTCAATAAACGTGTCCCTTCACACGAGACCGCTCGACCCGTTGGAGACGCTGTAGTTAGTACATATGCCAGGCCTGTAAGTGGCGCTGTACTTCCGCCACAAAATACACCAAAAGCAGCGAAGAAGACCCCCCGAGCATGGTTGCCATGGTTGCCTGGTTGCCCTTCTGTTTATTCTCCGCGGTGGATTTAGCAAACATGTAGTTCATGTAGTTCTCCATGTCCACTTGTTGCTGATGGTTGTGGTAGAGGAGCTGTAGATTTTGCACTAACATCTGTAGCATGGTCAGTAGCAGTAGCAGTAGCTACTGACAGTAGCTACTGACCATGCTACAGCAGTGAGCAGCAGAGGTGGGGAGAGGCGGGGCTATGGCTTCATCGTTATCAGGAAAATGATCGTATAGGACGTACACACGGCCGTTTGACCCCCCAGAGCGTTCCGTCCGCAGATCTATCCACCTTGGGACCCGTTATCGTTTTAGGGGTCCATTTCCGCGGTTCCGTTACGGCCTTGTGTGAACGAACGGGCTATACGAAAGAGAAAAGTAGCGGATACAACCCGTTTCGTTCCCGTGTAAACAGCACCTTACTCTCGGCAAGAAAGCATGCAAAGTGTCACCCAACATTTTGAATAAGATTAAATTGAATGATTATCTTGCCTATTTTATCGACTCCCTTCATTATTTTGATATGTATGCTGTTTACAAGGCTTGTGACAGTCTGCAATAATTGATGAAACTTGGTAAACTAAACTTGTGGATGATGTAATCTGTTGGCAGTCCTTCAGTGTGGGTGAGAGCATTTGTTAGTGATTATGTATTGCTACAGAGGCTTTTATTTAGCAAGGGCAGGCTTTCAAATTAAGCTGAACAAGAACAGTCTCTCTGTGAACATGAATCAGAAGAGACAAACCCCAGCTGCCACATGGGAGTGGAGCTGTCTGAGCAGTAATGAAATGACTTGGTGCCTGTTTTCCCAGCAGCACTTGAGCAAGAAGATCAACTTAGTGCCAGTGTACGATAATGCCTGAACACGAAGATACTGCTGAGACGCCTCTGTTTAATTGGACTCTGAGATGTCGTATACTTGAAAAAAGTATGAGCCTTCAGGCACAATCCATCAGCCAAAATCATTTGATTGTTTCTAGGTTTTTCGTCTCGTAATAATTAACAGCAAATAACCTTTTTAACCTAATTTATTTGTATCAACATAACTCTATGCTTATTTTATGATTATTACTTAGATAACAATTTGAATTGTGTTTTATTCAAATTAATGTTTTAAATGCAGTATGTTGTACATATATTAATGATGTGGACAAACTTTGGACCGTACTTATCAAACTTCTAAGAATTACATTAAAAAAAGCTCAAGAAACACATTAAAGTCAAATAAATTAAAACAATGACAACATTTCTAAATGTTATTGCATTTTCCTCAGTGATATGTTTTCGGCAAAAACCTAGCAAAATACATGATGTGTATCCATACCATTCTTTTGTGATGATAAAAGCTCAAATGAAGAGCTCAATAACAACCTTATTTTATATAGGGATTACAAAGGATATACATTTGATAAATCAGGATCACACTGACACACAATGAAGAAGACGAACTCATGCATTTAGAATATTTATTTTACTGACATTTGGATTGTGAATTGTGCCTTTCATGCTCACTGGACCTGAATACTGCGACAGTCTCAAAAAACAAAACTAAGAGAAGTGTATCTCGATGGCATACAGTACAGTATATATATATGTGTACTGAGTACACTGTATCATATTTAGAAAAACAAAAATAAGAGCACAAAATACATCTAAATAAGGGAAGTTTGAGATTTCCTTCTGCATCCTTTGAGTTGAACTTTCTGGCCGTTGGTAACAAATTCTTTAGAAAGTGAGAGCGTTTCATGAGTCTGGATTGCAGTATGAATGTGAAGAGAAGGGAGCATTACAGTCATGAACACTGGGCAGACTTTAAATTGGCTCGCACCCTTCAATACAGACTCAATGAATTTCACATGGGAGCTCTAAAAACAAAGTGCTCTCAATAACACTGTACTTCTCTCTGACACACACACACTCTCCCCCTCTCTGAACTGCTCACACACACACACACACACACACACACACACACACACACACACACACACACACACACACACACACACACACACACACACACACACACACGTGAATGTATGTGTGTGCCTCTGCCTATTTCTTCCATTATGTACCACAAACTTCAAAGCTCATACAAATGTTGTAAACATTCTCCACTCACAACATCATATGAATACAAAATGGCAGGAATCTGTACAGTGTTTACACATTTCAACTACATCTGTACCCATTACAATGTAAGGGTCTTCCCAAAAGTTTAAAGGGGCCCTATTAAGTTCATTTTCAGGTTTCATAATTTATTTTGTGCCTCTACTGTGACATGTTTCCATGCTTTAAAGTTCAAAAAGCACTTCATTTTACTCATTTTTCTGCAGCACCTCTTTCCACTCTCTGTCTGAAACCAGAGCCCACTCTGCTCTGATTGGTTATCTAGCCTGCTCTGTTGTGATTGGTCAACAGCGTAGAGATGTCCTGCCCCTTGGCCTATCAAGTACAATGTGTTGGAGCGCTAGCCAATAGAAGTGTGAGTGTTACACAGTGATGTCACTATGTTACGAAAGTAAACAAAGGAGTCCAATGGAGGCGTTTTAGGCCGGGGGGAGAGTGTGGGAGAGAAACTCCCTCTGGAAGGTCCTTTGGGTTTTTATGTCTGCAGACCATTCAGATGCACATAAACATATGTAACACATTACAGGAAAGGGAAAACCCCGAAGAGCATAATAGGGCCTCTTTAAACAATGTCCTTTGAGCCCATGCTGGGTTTCTTTTCAAGACGCTCCATCAGCTCCCCTGCACTGAAATAAAAAAACGGTTTCCTACTCCATGGCCAGGGCGACCCTGTCAGGCGTCATCGGCCCCCCCTTGACGGAGATCCACAAGTCCTCACTCGAGTTCTTTCTCTTCTTCGTTTCTGACCTTGCGGTTGCCATGGCGTCCTTGCAACAGCAGCAGTTGGCATGGCGACAGCAGCAGCAGTGGCAGCACACGACCAAAGTGGTGAGGAGGACGATGAGGGGCAGAGTCAGCAGCACCACCAGGCACACCGTGTTGTACGCCCCCTGGCTGTGCTTCTCTGTAGCAATGCTCCAAAGTTGGTGGAAAAAATCCCGGATGCTGTCTGTTCCCCCATCCATGGCGCTCGGATACGGAGTCGTGGCTCCTTTTAATTAAGTTTGTCTGGCAGTTGTAAAGTTTTAATAAATCCTTTAGAGGGTTGTGAAGTTTGCAAGTCAGTTAATGTGCGTATTAGCCAGCTGGAGACACTCAGATAATCACAAAATGGTGTTCATTTAAGTTGAAAGTTGTTTTTTTATGCGGTATGGTTTGAGCTTCAAAGTTTGTCAGGTCTGATATTGTTGGTGACTTGACATTGAACTTTCATGTGCTCCTGCTTTCTACTTCCAAAGAGTTTACAGCACTATCTGATGAGGCTTGCACTCAGGCTTGGGTTGTTTATGTGAAATGGAAACACTGGAAGCATGCAGGGTGACTTCATGTATGTCTACTTCCTTGAAGTGCCCTGAGCATTCTTTAAACAAATCCAGAAGACCAAAAGCTCACTTGTTTATCAGAAGGTTTTCTTTGAAATAGCCCAGTTGTGACAATCTTGATGCAGGAGAAAAAAGGCAAAATCTGCACTCCAGCCAAGTTTGTTTATCCTGCTTGGCATTCCTCAAAATGTTTTCTTTCTCTTTGTCTTCCAGAGGCCTCTCTCGTCCTCTTGCTCTTTTCAGTTACGTTTTGTAGCGATGCTTTTGGGTGTGTCTGTGGAACAAAAGAAAGAGAAAGTAAATACATTTGCTTTTCAGCAGACAGCTCTTCTTCCCTTTTTCCCAACTCGGCCTTCCAATCCATCTTTCTGCCTCTAAACGCCTCTACTCCTGCTCTCCCCCGCTTGTCAATGTCAGCTTCAGATGTTCAGCTTTTCCCCTCATTGATACTGCAGAGGACTCATTCAGGATTCAGGACAAATTTCTCCTGCTGAGGAAGACCGGTGCAAAGAAGAAGAGGAGAGGGAGATTGTGTCTGAGGGAAGGCAAGACAGAGATAAAGGTAACCAATCTTTCTAAGAGTCCTGCTGAGACAGAAAGTGTCAGGGGGAAAAAGGAGAGACGTAGAGAGAGACCTGCTCCAAGAGATTCATCTGAATATACGCAGCTAATTGCTCCCAATGGAGGAAATATACGGAGTCTGGCTTAAGTTTTCATAAATGTCTGATTGTAACGCTTTCCTCTGGCCTCAGATAAAATCTCCTAACAGCTCTACTGGAGGAGAAAAAACGAGGTGAGGTGCTTCAATTGGGGAAGTAGGTCTGCAAAAGAAGAAATAAAAGAGGTAAAAGTAATATTGTTCCTTTTTTCTTTGAGACTATTTGATTAAGTCTAAAGCCTTGAGGCAACATCTTTATTTAAACGGTGTTAAACCACTATAGTTTTCTCCAATGATTTCAAATACCAATTGAGTAAAGTACGTCCTCTAGATTCCCCTTAGCTCACGGCGTCAGAGCCTCTCTCTATTCTCGATGCAAGAGAGAGAAGAGATTTTCATCTCACATTTGGCTGGCAGAGAGAGAAAGATGCACCTGCAAGTGGAGAGCAAATAGATTTGACGTGGCTGTCTTGGTGCGTCGCGTCTCATGTGTGAAATTGGTTTACCCGCAGAGAGTCTGCTAACTTCCCTCCCGCTCGTGTGCTCAACAGGAAGTTGAGCGCTTAAGCTAAGTAAAGCCGGAGTCATCTGAGACCTCAGAGTTAGAGATGAGAAAGAGCAGTCTCTCAGACCTAAACTAAATTACCACATTTTAAGCTGTGCTTGTTACTATTTGTCTGTTTGGTTATAGTTTTGTTTTTCTTATCAGGCTGAAATAAAAATAAAGCTGTGTCCCATTCAACATACTTACTAAACTGTAAATAGCACAGTTTCATTCGTTATAGGCCTACTGCACTCGGAAAAAATATATTTTGTTTGACACAAACAGAAAATGATGCAATACTTCAAACTACAACTCTGGATTTTAATTGGCTAATAAGATAAAAACACATAAAAATAAGAAGCTCCTCCATTTCCTTTGTGCATTGCTTTGCATAATAAAAGTCTACATCAACGGATTGCTGAATTATGATTTTGGTGTGTATTCTGACTGCCTGTGACTTTATTTTTGGTTATTTTGGGTTTTACTTTGGTTGTAAAACTACATACAAACGCTCACAGTATGTAATCGGTGACAAGGGTTTGCACTCAAAGTGCAGCTTAATTTAGCCGAAAGCAAAAACATCAGATAAGTGTGGACCATGATCTTATTTGATGCACAGAAATCCTTCTGGTCCTAACAGCATTGGATTGAAGCATTCATCATTAGTAAAATGTACGCAGATTTTCAGCCAAAAAGCATTGAAAGTAAACTGTGAACTATACTAAGGAATATGAACATTGTTGGGAGCCCCAGAGTCACTTCCATGTTATTGTTGGTCTTTTCCTCCGCTGTTGTTACATCATGTTGTGATGAGCTCGGCTGAGCAGCAGCACCTTTGTGTAAACTCTGATCTCCCTCACATAATGAAAACACGGTCAACGAGCCACAGTCACTGAACAATAAGTCCGTAGGAGAGAAACAAAGGCCGGTAACAGAGGTGTGATAGCTATATAAAAGAGATGACTAATAATGCATCAGTGCAAAAGTCATTGAATGGAATGGATAAGTCATCAAGAGGTATGATAATTATAGTCTCTTGCCAGTATGAATGATCATTGTGGGTTATGTCTAACATGTAGAAATTGTAAAAAAGGATATTTATTCTGTATGTGCTCCAATAGAAAGGCATGAAATAGTTACAAGTTATATTAAATAGAATATTTTCCAGCTCAGGTAGTTTCAAAATGTGACTTTTCTCGAGGTAAACACTGTGATTGTCAGTATTGTTCTGCCAAGATCGCTTTCTCAGCAGGACATTTGAAGTATGTAATAGAGGGTGTTCATCACACTGTGAATGCTGATGGCATACGTCTGAGCTGAAGTTAGTTTGTGGTTTAGGAAAGGTGCAGAACAAAATAAGTAATTGAAAAAAGAAAATACAGCCACGCTTCATTTTACTATATTTTAAATGAGGCCACATTCTTTAAATGTTTACCTTGTTCATATTATCTCACTGAAATGCCATTCTAAGTTTGGGTGCTTCACTTTCTCATGACATTGTGCTCTCAAGGAGCCATTCATATACAGGAAAAGGCCACACTGGGGCACACAAAGCCAGGAAGGGGCTGAGAAAAATGTTATGATTGCACTCACTTAGCCCTTGCTGCTTTTTAAGGAACATGTGCGACCTAAAAGACAAAGTTGTGACAGAAGGCAACGCAGGAATCTTTAATGACTCGCCCCGAGCACACAGTCTGAACACAGCCTTCATCAATCTGTATTAATATAGAGCATGGAGGACATGTTTAGCTTAAATTGAATCAGCCTCCAATAAACTATTAGGACATACTTGAGTTTTTTTGTTGTTGTTGTTGCTAAAAACACAAGCTAGGTCAGATCACTAAGTGTAGCTGTTTTGCTTGAGTAGCTACAGGCCTGCTGACAGTCTGGAGGAGTGCATTTCTCTGGAGTGAACAAGAGCAAGTGCACAAGCCCAGTACAGTTCAGACTTGTGTCAACTCGATCCTGACTGAGTGAAATGAGCAAAGTTGAGGACATTAAGAAGAGGAGGAAGAGACACTAAAACCGGCATCAGGGAAAGACCAAAAAACCCTCCATTGAACAGAGCGACAGAAAGTTACTCTGAAAGAGATTGAAGCAGCAAATGCAGAGATTACAACTATTTTATAAACTAGAATTTGAATAAGTAAATAAATGTTATATTTTAACTAGATAACTAGAGTAGTACATTATAGTGATACTTCGGGGCACTCAAAGGCAGGAGAAAGGAAGAAACGTATCATCTTATCCTTGTAACTTGTCAAACATCCTGTCAGATCTAATCTTTAATACAGATCAACACTTTTTTAATAGGAGTCTTCACCATGGGCAGCACCTTTGCCCCAGTTTAACCACAAGTCACACAAGAAAACGCATCAACAGCTTATATAAACCACTCAGAACAGTTTCAAAGTATCTCAAATTGGCACTCAAGATCTCTTTGAAAGCGGCACCTTACCCCGCGGGCACGTGTGAAGTGGCAGGTCAGCTCGCCCTGCTGTCTAATCCCGACAGCTGCTCAGACTTCAGTTGTTTCTGTTTTGGCATCTGGCTTCTTCTCTGTTCTGGTCCCCCTCACCCAGACATCTTGACAAGTCTTCACTTTCTGTTCCTGTTTCCCTCTTTACCCTTGTTTCCCATTCTCCTCCTACTAGTGAGCGTGTGTTTTGGTCACAACGTCACAGCACCCTGCCCACTTTGTGTAAGAATGGGCCCTCTGTCTCTGCTGCTGTGTTTCCTGCATGGGAAACTACATTCTTGTGGTTGCTTTACTCAACTCACACAAGCACAGGGTGATGTCAGACAGCAAGGGGGGAAGTTATGTAAACTGCATACGAAATGAAATCACAAGACTTTATTAAATGTGTCTCAGAACAACTCCTCATGTTAGGATATTAAAAGAAAGGCTTCTCTACAGTACATGCACCAATGTGAGAAACCATGCAACCAGCATTGTTGCAGCATTTGACTAAATAACACTTAATCATACGAACAACCATCTCAGAGTCCTGTTAAGGGAATAAGAAAGGGGAAATGAAAGCTGTTTAAGGGTGTGTGTTGAGCACCACCAGGTGTAAGAGTCAGATGCAGTTGAGATATGAAAGAATAAGGTCGTGTGAACTGCACACAAATGCACGCACACACATTATTACTATGCCTGTGGCATTATGGTCAGTGCCCTTTCAGCTCAGTCAGGCAAAGGAAAAGACGATTTTTATTATTAAGTAAGAAAAAAAGTGTTTTGCTGACATTAAAAAGCAGCTATTTATTCTCTTCTTCGGAAAGGGGAAGTTATGAGATAAAGTGCACTGACTCGGATACTGTACACGAACTCTCGATATGATGTGAGCCTGTGAACTATGCAATATCTCAGAGTGGTTAGTGAAAGAGACATTTTTTTTTCGTGAGAATCAAACGTTCTTTTTTTATAGCGACCTTTTTTATAATAATGAATAAGGAAACATGGTCAGATATACAGTACCCTGTTGTTTTGAATTATTCTACTGCAGTTACATACCCTCACCGGACCATCTGACAGGCTGAACATGCAGAGTGTCTTTTGGTTGCCACGGGGCATGGTTACATGAAAATTGATGAGACGAGCCTCGCCATGTCTGCAGGTGTGTCTGAGCCATCTAAGACAAACAACACACACACACACACACACACACACACACACACACACACACACACACACACACACACACACACACACACACACACACACACACACACACACACACACACACACACACACACACACACACACACACACACACACACACACACACACACACACACACAGAGAGAGGCTGACTGGCAGGGTGTGTAGTTCTCCACAGTGAAGCTATATCACAGCTGCTGTTGAGGCACTACAGGGTCCAGTCACCTGGAGCAAGTGTTGATTAATGACCTCAGTGTAGCGGCACTTCCCTTGATGGAAATCCCTCTTTACAGTAGTTTATATGAAAATGATTTCACTATATTTTTTGCTTCTGCAGACGTACCTGAATATAGATTAAACTATACTGCAGGGGTCATTTGGAAATCTTGATTCTGATTCAAAAACACGAGGAGGGATCTGAAAAAGCAGCTGAATTATGCGCCAATGTGCTTTCTAGGTCTGAGTTTCTTTCTTTCTTACATTATAAGGATCCTATTATACCTTCCCTTCCCTCTAAGTATAGACCTACCTTATGTTCAAATGACACTGCAGTGGCCCTTGTATGCATCCCATTTCCTCCAAGGAGACCTTATTCTCAATACATATTTCCTTGTGCTATATAGGGCGTATCTCCCATCTGGTTTATAGAAACCTTACTTTCAGGCAAGCACAGCTATGAGGGAAACCTTGAACAATATATCCCTTTATCCAGCTGGGGTCTGTAGCTGAACAAATTGCAGGAAAGACCAGTAAGCTCACGCTGGATCAACGATCATACAATCATGATAGCAAAGAGGTGACTGTGACATTACCCGCAGCATTAAAGGAAGCCTCATGGGATCACTGGACTGAGTGGGTATAACCAAACGTGGTGCACTCTGTGACTTCTTGAATGTGAGCGCTAATGAAAAGTGACTAAAGGGTTGCTGTAGTGGAATCTGACAAGTGTCCAGAAATAGTCTGCTAATAAATCCCGTCCCCTCGGGGGCAAACCTTAGCAGTGGTTCAGTCCTGTAAAATGACGCTGTGAAAACACGGAGTAAAGACTTGATGAGTCTATATAAGGAATTGCCTCTTGCTCTGAAGGAAAAAGCCCTCATTGAAGAGCTGTTAGCTGGCATGTAAACGTAAGGCTTTTACAGGAACACCTAATTGCACTTTTAAGCTATGAGGTCAGTCTGAGCTATTTTTACATTTATTTACGTAATAATCTCAGCATAGTTATCATATGACACAGGCTGTATTTTAGGACTGGACATATTATAAAACATCTCTTTCTTGGTTTGTGAGAACACAACTTTGATCCATTCTGCTGTATAAATAAATAAAGGGCGTCTCTGTAAGCCTACAGTAAAGGAAATATTTTCCAAAGTGCTTAAATATGTTCAACAGGGACTTTCTTAGTTCCTCTTTGCTCCCCAGTATATCCATATACAGAATAAGCTATATGAATCACTGTGGGAAAATCACTCGAGCTAGTCAACATGTTGGGTTGCCATGACACTCAGTTGCCAATAATGAGTGTAAAGTTGGCCAAAAAAGATGACTCAATAAGAAACTGCAAAATGCAGCTGACGCTCTCTCAGTTGAGTGTTAAAGGTCACCTATTGCAAAATCCACTTTTTCATGTCTTTTATACAGAAACATGTGTCCCCTCTGTGTGAAGAGATTCTGAAGGTTTAATGATTTGTTCCCTTTCTGTCCTGACCCATTTATATAAAAACCTGTCTGAAAATGAGCAGATCAGATTTTGGCCACTTTATGATGTTTTGGCTTGTGTAACCATTAGCCAATAACCAACCAAGGTAACATCAATAATACCTGAAACCAGAGCCCAGTCTGCTCTGATTGGTTAGCAGGCTGGCTCTGTTCTGATTGGTCAACCACTTAGAGATGTCCCAACCCTTAGCCTATCACGTACTATTTGTTGGAGCGCTTACCAATATAAGTGCTATAGTATAACGTAGTGATGTCACTGCAGTAAACAAAGGACTCAACGTGATTTTAGCTTTTGCAGACCATTTACATGCACAAAAACCTATATAACAAATACACGAAAGGGTAAACCCCCCAAAAGCATAATAGGGCCCCTTTAAGGCAGAATACATCCAATTCACTATTCTATTCTATTTGAGTCCAAATTTGCATCTTCAGGTTGCGTCAAGGCCAACTTTGGTGAACTACATCTGCATGTTCTCCTGTGCCTTCATGCTACATAAATATTGCTGTGTCTTTATCTCTCACTGACAGGCTTTGGCTTTTGTTTCCTACAAACAGAAATATCTGATGGTGTTACATGACTGACAGCTGCCTGACCTTGTGTGCTCCTTTGATAACCAAAAGATACAAAAGTGCATTTCCCTGTTTTTGTTGCGAGTGTTTTAAATGACTCGTATGCATTGTAACAGCTGTGTTGAAGTAAAAATTCTAACAGAAAGTGTTGAGTCTGAAGGAGATTGTTAATTTCAAATGTGTAGCTACAGGAGCATTTAGGGCTAAGAGATTAAACATTTTACAGGAACACGACACAGCAAGCAAGATCAATTAGAAAAGTTCACCCTGCAGTGATGGGAAAAAAAGAAAACAACAATTCTTTTAAAACACGTCTCAACCGCAATTCATATCAACACGACAGTAATTGAATTTTTTCGCTAGCATTAATCTCCTCACTGTGTCACATTTTCTCGTCTCATTATTATCTCAGTATCCAGTCCCATCTCCCTTAATCAATGTCACCTGTTAACAGAATAGACTGGTGTCTCACTACAGAACACCTCAGGAGAGCATTAGACTGTGCCATGGACATGTCTTTTTACTGACTGAGCTAAGAGATATAGCAAAAAAAAACACCCTTTGCTGTTGACCCTCATGTGTCTTTTGTTTATTCGGATATACAAAAATAGGTTTCCTAATATAAATAAAATGTTTCTCAAGCCTGACTAAATGCATATTCTGTTATATTTTATTTATTAAATCTAAGAAGTCTCAGTCTTCTGAGATAGGGTTGTCAATTATGCAAAAAATATGTTTTTTGTCAAAGTGTGTTATCCTAAATAACAAAAACACTCTGGTTAGTTGAATTGTAAAATAAATCTCAAATAAATCACTCCACTTCCATTCTTCATTTATGTGTCTTTGCGTCTTTGATACAGCCAATGACATAGAACAACATCAAAAGTACGTTGTGCCCTCTGCTTTTTTTAAAAGATTATCACGATTCATTTTTCATCCCACCCATTTAAATCTTTACATATTTGCATTCCATTTCACCGTCTCGCAATGTATCGGTATTCGTGCTCCGCATGTTGACCAACAACAAATAAAGCTGTTCTCTTTACGTGCCACTACAGCATTGTTCTCATTCAAACTGTGCATCAATGCGTGTGTGCATAGAATTTACTCTGTAATGCACTCAGTAATAGCAAATGTGTTCCTACTCTCTCACAAACACACACATATAACACTCTGTGGCTGTGCCCTATGCACAAAATCCCAAATTGTTGAGCTTGTACCCCTGCCGTCCCTGTAGGTGATGAGATAAAGCAGAGACTCTGCTGAGCTCGCGCCCCAGGTCACTGCAGCCCTGAGAGACACTTCCATATGTGTGTCAGCTCTCATATTTGAAAGGCTCCTGAGGACTTTTGTGTAGCCTAGTTCAGCTGATGCAGGGGGGGGGGGGCACTAAAGAGCGCTCCTGGCACACAGCAAAAATCCAACCCCATTTTCTATTTGGCCTTAAATCATGAATACAAAATGGCAAGGCATTTCGTTGGTTCAGGAAAAAAATGATTGAAGGAAAACTTTGACAAGAAAGTCCAGAAAGTCCAGCTAAACAGACGTGGTGACTATAAAGAGAGGAGATGGTAAACTTTATGTAAATCAGTGAAGCCAGAGGGTTATTCTGCAGTCTCCAGAGAGGACATGGAGAGATTGTGGAGGATTTCAGCTTGTTTTACATGTTGATCAATAACATAAACACATCTTGGTGTTTTTGGAAAAGAAATTTGCACAAAAACAAGATTGTAAATTTCATATT